GATTTATATATATATTATTATTATACAGGATTTATATATTATTATTATTATACAGGATTTATATATATTATTATTATTATACAGGATTTAATATTATATTATTATTATACAGGATTTATATATTATTATTATTATTATACAGGATTTATATATATTATTATTATTATACAGGATTTATATATTATTATTATTATTATACAGGATTTATATATATTATTATTATTATACAGGATTTATATATTATTATTATTATTATTATACAGGATTTATATATTATTATTATTATTATTATTATTATTATACAGGATTTATATATTATTATTATTATTATACAGGATTTATATATTATTATTATTATTATTTATACAGGATTTATATATTATTATTATTATTATTATTATTATTATTTATTATACAGGATTTATATATTATTATTATTATACAGGATTTATATATTATTATTATACAGGATTTATATATTATTATTATACAGGATTTATATATTATTATTATTATTATTATTATACAGGATTTATATATATTATTATTATACAGGATTTTATATATTATTATTATTATACAGGATTTATATATTATTATTATTATTATTATTATTATACAGGATTTATATATATTATTTATTATACAGGATTTATATATATTATTATTATACAGGATTTATATATATTATTATTATACAGGATTTATATGGCGCCAACAGTATGTTGAAATGCATTTTGTTTATATATTACAAAATATATGAAAAATATTTTAAAAAATATTTTTTTAAATATATTTTTTTTTAAATATATTCTTCGGATTTTTTTTTTATCATACAGAGAAGTCATTTTTACCTATATCTGTAAATGTGTTCCAAAAAAGTAGATTTGTATTTCTAAAGACACGCAGTGTATATATTTCATATATTTTTGTAATAAAAACACATTTCCGCATACAGTATATATATAGATTAAAGTCCTCCTTCACATCAGGGTCCTCATCAGAGACCTCCGTGCATCAGGGTCCCCTTTAGGGATTCCCCTTACATCAGGGACCCCATCAGACTCCTCCCTTACATTAGGGTCCCCACCAGAGTCTCCCCTTCTCAGGGTTCCCTTTAAAGTCCTCCTTCACATCAGGATCCCCATCAGAGACCTCCTTACATCAGGGTCCCTTTTAGAGTGTTCCCTTACACCAGGGACCCCATCAGAGTACTCCTTCACATCAGGGACCCCACCAGAGCCCTCCCTTACATCAGGGTCCCCACCACAGCCCTCCCTTACATTAGGGTCCCCACCAGAGTCCCCTCTTATGTCAGGGTTCCCTTTAAAGTCCTTCACATCAGGATCCCCATCAGAGTACTCCTTCACATCAGGGTCCTCATCAGACACCTCCTTGCATCAGGGTCCCCTTTAGAGTTTCCCCTTACATGGGGGACCCCATCAGACTCCCCCCTTACATTAGGGTCCCCAACAGTGTCCCCACCAGAGTCCCCCCCTTTATGTCAGGGTTCCCTTTAAAGTCCTCCTTCACATCAGGATTCCCATCAGAGACCTCCTTACATCAGGGTCCCCTTTAGAGTGTCCCCTTACATCGGGGACCCCATCAGATTAGTCCTTCACATCAGGGTCCCCATCAGAGTCCTCTTTACATCAGGATTCCCCAGCCTACACTGTCGTTTGTCCTCCAGCTCTGACCATTAATGATACATCGTTGGTCCTCGGACCGAGGAGCAGATAAATTCTTGTAGACAGCCAGGTGACTGTTTGGAGACCTCGGCTCTCATGGGAACAGTCCTGGAGATGAGTCCTCGGGAAAGGACTGGTATTGGGGTCCATTGCCGTAAAGGTGTGAGGAAGGGACAGTCTACTGCAGGTGCTGGTTAGGCCAAGCCATGAGTCTCCCTGTGGAGGCCTCTGTTATGGGGAGGTACCCCAGCCCATGGCTCCTCGGGGAGTCTTTGGGACCATCTCATGCCAGGTAGAGATGGTCAAAGAGTGGCCGCGAGGCAATGCATGTGAAGCCCAACCGGCTACGCCAGTCCTTTCATGTGTCCCATCGTTTGTTTGCCTGCAGCTCCTCCAATGTGTACCGGGTTCAACTCGGAAGACACAACCTGAGACAGGTGGAACCCAACATCAAGACCATCAGCGTCACCAAGCTCATCAACCACCCCAAATGGAACTCCAATGCTCTAGCCAATGGGTAACCTCCTACTGCTTCTGAATATCAGGGATAATAATGTCTGTATTTCTCACTGCCACACCTAGACAGGAATGTAACTGAGTGTGAATGACCGTCACTAGTGCAGGTTCATCGAGCAGGTAACCCTTTACACACCCACAGTATGCAGTGACCTATAATAATGTCTGCATCACTCGCTGCCACACCCAGACAGGAATGTAACTGAGTGAGAATGGCGTCACTAGTGCAGGTTCATCGAGCAGGTAACCCTTTACACCTATGCAGTGACCTAAAAAAAGTCTGTATTTCTCGCTGCCACGTCCAGATAGGAATGTAACTGAATGAGAATGGCCGTCACTAGTGCAGGTTAGTTGAGCAGGTAACCCTTTACACGTATGCGGTGACCGATAATAATGTCTGTATCACTTGCTGCCACGTCCAGATAGGAATGTATCTGAGTGAGAATGGCGTCACTAGTGCAGGTTCATCAAGCAGATAACCCTTTACACCTACAGTATCGGTGCCCTATAATAATGTCTGTTATCACTCACTGCCACGTCCAGACAGGAATGTAACTGAGTGTGAATGGCCATCACTAGTGCAGGTTCATCGAGCAGGTAACCTTTACACGTATGCGGTGACCTATAATAATGTCTGTATCTCTCGCTGCCACGTCCAGATAGGAATGTAACTGAGTCAGAATGGCGTCACTATGCAGTTTCATCGAGCAGGTAACCCTTTACACCTACAGTATGCGGTGACCTATAATAATGTCTGTATCACTCGCTGCCACGCCCAGACAGGAATGTGAGTGAGAATGGCGTCAACTAGTGCAGGTTAGTTGAGCAGGTAACCCTTTACACGTATGCGGTGACCGATAATAATGTCTGTATCACTCGCTGCCACGTCCAGATAGGAATGTATCTGAGTGAGAATGGCGTCACTAGTGCAGGTTCATCAAGCAGGTAACCCTTTACACCTACAGTATGCGGTGCCCTATAATAATGTCTGTATCACTCACTCCACGTCCAGACAGGAATGTAACTGAGTGAGAATGGCCGTCACTAGTGCAGGTTCATCGAGCAGGTAACCTTTTACACGTATGCGGTGACCTATAATAATGTCTGTATCTCTTGCTGCCACGTCCAGATAGGAATGTAACTGAGTCAGAATGGCGTCACTAGTGCAGGTTCATCGAGCAGGTAACCCTTTACACCTACAGTATGCGGTGACCTATAATAATGTCTGTATCACTCGCTGCCACGCCCAGACAGGAATGTGAGTGAGAATGGCGTCACTAGTGCAGGTTCATCGAGCAGGTAACCCTTTACGCGTATGCGGAGACCTATAATAATGTCTGTATCACTCGCTGCCACGTCCAGATAGGAATGTAACTGAGTCAGAATGGCCGGCACTAGTGCAGGTTAGTTGAGCAGGTAACCCTGTACACCTACAGTATGCGGTGACCTATAATAATGTCTGCATCAGTCGCTGCCACGCCCAAACAGGAATGTAACTGAGTGAGAATGGCGTCACTAGTGCAGGTTCATCGAGCAGGTAACCCTTTACACCTATGCAGTGACCTAAAAAAAAGTCTGTGTTTCTCGCTGCCACGTCCAGATAGGAATGTAACTGAGTGAGAATGGCTGTCACTAGTGCAGGTTCATCAAGCAGGTAACCCTTTACACCTACAGTATGCGGTGCCCTATAATAATGTCTGTATCACTCACTGCCATGCCCAGACAGGAATGCAACTGAGTGTGAATGGCCATCACTAGTGCAGGTTCATCGAGCAGGTAACCTTTTACACGTTTATGCGGTGACCTATAATAATGTCTGTATCTCTCGCTGCCACGTCCAGATAGGAATGTAACTGAGTCAGAATGGCCGTCACTAGTGCAGGTTAGTTGAGCAGGTAACCCTTTACATCTACAGTAGGCGGTGACCTATAATAATGTCTGCATCAGTCGCTGCCACGCCCAGACATGAATGTAACTGCGTGAGAATGGCGTCACTAGTGAAGGTTCATTGAGCAGGTACTAATGGCAAAAAGGGGGGCAAGAGGCACCATAAATTAAATGTATCACTGAATGTATTTTATCTGCCAAGTAACCAAAAACCAAACATGAAAAAAAGGGGGGATGTGAAAAGAGATTCACAGAAAAAGCGGTTACATCACGAACAGAAAGCGATACTCAGAAATTCCTCAAAAATGATGCTTTATTACAAAAATTGCATATGTAGACATTAAGGTGAATACCTCAGTAACATGACAACATGGGGGACATTTTCAGGGGGGGGATACATTGTAACATGACAACATGGGGGACATTTCAAGGGGGGGGATTACATTGTAACATGACAACATGGGGGACATTTAAGGGGGAGGGGAATACATTGTAACATGACAACATGGGGGACCTTTCGGTTGGGATACATTGTAACATGACAACATGGGGGACATTTCATGGGGGGGGGGGGAATACATTGTAACATGACAACATGGGGGACATTTCAGGGATAGGGGAGCTACATTGTAACATGACAACATGGGGGACATTTTGGGGGGGGATACACTGTAACATGACAACATGGAGGACATTTCAGGGGGGGATACATTGTAACATGACAACATGGGGGACATTTCAGGGGGGGGATACATTGTAACATGACAACATGGGGAACATTTCAGGGGGAAGACTTCTCCAAGGCGATGTACCTTACATAAATAATTCTGCGTCGTGTCAGCTGTATTGCTCCTTTAAGTTGCGGGGTTCCATAGTCAACACTTCCTTTGCTTCCTCCAGGAATGACATCTCTCTCTCCTTAAGCTGGCAGAACCCGTAGAATTCAGTGACACCATCCAGCCCGCTTGCCTGCCCCCTGCTGATGTCATCCTTGAAAACAACGTTGGCTGCTTCGTCACCGGCTGGGGGAACCTCCAGAGTAAGTGAGCCTTGGATTTAATCGGGTTCAAGGAAACTTTCACCATGGGAATCCCACAGACTGAAACTTCTGTCCTCTCCTTCTGAAAATATATATTTGTACGGCTCTCCTGGGAGGTCTAATGTGTCTCTCCAGACTCCTGGACCTCGATATGCAGTATAATGGTGTCTAACTTATGTTTCTATTCTATTCTTTTCTATTCTATTCAAATCTATTCTATTAAAATTCATATTTATTACCTTTTTTTTTTTTTTCTATTTTTATTCTATTCTTTTTTTTCTATTCTATTATTTTCTATTCTATTATATTGTGTTCTATTCTATTTTTTGCTATTCTATTCTAATCTATTCTTTTATGTTCTATTTTTTTCTTTTCTATTCTATTCTAATCTATTCTATTCAAATTCAAATTTTATTCTTTTCAAAATTTGATTATCGGAAGACAGTTATATTTTTTCTATTTTATTCTATACTGTTTTTTTTTCTATTCTATTCTTTTATATTCTAATCTATTCTATTCTTTTATGTTCTATTCTATTCTATTAAAATTTTCATATTTTATTCTCTTCAAAATGTGATTATCAGAAGACAGTTATATTTTTTCTATTTTATTCTACACTACTTTTTTTTTTTCTATTCTATTCTTTTATATTCTAATCTATTATTTTATATTGTTTTCTATTCTAATCTATTTCTATTCTTTTATGTTCTATTCTATTTTTTTTTCTATTCTATTCTAATCTATTCAATTAAAATTCATATTCTCTTCAAAATTTGAATTTCAGAAGAAAGATATATTTATTTCTATTTTATTCTCTTCTATTTTTTCTATTATATTCTATTCTTTTATATTGTGTTCTTTTCTATTGTTTTGCTATTCTATTCTTTTTTTTTATTCTATTCTTTTATGTTCTATTCTTTTCTATTCTAATCTATTCTATTCTATTCAAATTTTATTCTTTTCAAAATTTGATTATCGGAAGACAGTTATATTTCTTCTGTTTTATTCTATACTGTTTTTTTTTTATTCTATTTTTTATATTCTATTCTATTCTTTTCTATTCTATTCTATTAAAATTCATATTTATTCTCTTCAAAATGTGATTATCAGAAGACAGTTATATTTTTTCTATTTTATTTTACACTAATATTTTTTTTTTCTATTCTATTCTTTTATATTCTAATCTATTATTTTATATTGTTTTCTATTCTAATCTATTCTATTCTTTTATTTTCTATTCTATTCTAATCTATTCAATTAAAATTCATATTTTCTTCAAAATTTGAATTTCAGAAGAAAGATATATTTATTTCTATTTTATTCTCTTCTATTTTTTCTATTATATTCTATTCTTTTATATTGTGTTCTTTTCTATTGTTTTGCTATTCTATTCTAATTTATTCTATTCTTTTATGTTCTATTCTTTTCTATTCTAATCTATTCTATTCAAATATGAATTTCATTCTCTTCAAAATTTGATTACCAGAAGACAAGTTATATTTTTTTCTATCTTATTCTCTACTTTTTTTTTTTTTTTTTCTATTCTATTCTTTTATATTCTAATCTATTATTTTATATTGTTTTCTATTCTAATCTATTCTTTTCCATTCTATTGAAATCTATTTTATGCTATACTGTTTTTTTTTTAATTCTGTTCTATTCTTTTCTATTCTATTCTAATCTATTCTTTTATTTTATATTGTATTCTGTTCTGTCGAATTCAGGTGAAATTTTTGCTTCGTTGTTTCAGATTCGTTCAAATCCGTTACTATTGTCATTCGAACATTCGGATACATTTTTGTATTTTTGTTCTGCCCGTGTCTGCTTATTTTTTACTGATGTTAATAAAATGAAATTTGATTTTTTTTTTTTTTTAGCGAACGGAGTTGGCGCAGACGCCTTGCAGCAAGGTCTTCTCCTGGTTGTGGACCACGACACGTGCACTCAGCGTGATTGGTGGGGAAATACCGTGAAGACCAACATGATCTGCGCTGGAGGGGACGGCATCGTGTCATCCTGCTATGTATGTACTGCCAAACCAGAGGCGGGCTGACCATTTGGGAACTCTGGCACTGCCCAAGGGCCGGGGTCAGTAGGGGGCCCCATGTGATGCCTCTGTTACCTTTCATAGGCTTTTTTGGGTGTGGTTTGAGTGTGGGCGAGGACACAGGGGCCCCATGATCCCCTATTGCCCAGGGGGCCCCATGATCCCCTATTGTCTGGGGGGCCACATGATCCCCTATTGCCCAGGGGGCCCCATGATCCCCTATTGCCCGGGGGACCCCATGATCCCCTATTGCCCGGGGGGCCACATGATCCCCTATTGCCCGGGGGGCCCCATGATCCCCTATTGCCCAGGGGGCCCCATGATCTCCTATTGCCCGGGGGGCTCCATGATCTCCTATTGCCCGGGGGGCCCCATGATCCCCTATTGCTCGGGGGGGGGCCCCATGATCTCCTATTGCCCGGGGAGCCCCATGATCTCCTATTGCCCGGGGGGGCCCCATGATCCCCTATTGCCCGGGGGGGCCCCATGTTCTCCTATTGCCCGGGGGCCCCATGATCTCCTATTGCCCGGGGGCCCCATGATCCCCTATTGCCCGGGAGGTCCCATGATCTCCTATTGCCCGGGGGGGCCCCATGATCCCCTATTGCCCGGGGGGGGCCCCATGATCTCCTATTGCCGGGGGGTCCCATGATCTCCTATTGCCCGGGGGGCCCCATGATCCCCTATTGCCCGGGGGGCCCCATGATCCCCTATTGCCCGGGGGGCCCCATGATCTCCTATTGCCCGGAGGGCCCCATGATCCCCTATTGCCCGGGGGCCCCATGATCCCCTATTGCCCGGGGGGCCCCATGGTCTCCTATTGCCAGGGGGCCCCATGATCCCCTATATCCCGGGGGGGCCCTATATGATCTCCTATTGCCCGGGGGCCCCATGAGTTTTCAGTCTGGCCCTGGCCAGACGAGACTCCTCGGCCCTCGTTCATCATGCACAGCGACGGCACTGGAGGGATGCTAAAAAGACACGATGTTGCTTGAAGGGCCACCCCAGTCATCGTGCGACTATTGCAGGCCATAGACGTTCGTTTATCGGCCGAATTTTCGTCAGAAACAATAATCGGCCAATATTTGCACCTTTAGTGGGGCAATGTCGTCGGCCGATTTTCACGGTTCCTCCTCGCTCATGCTGGAAAATTTACAAAAAATGGCCGATTTCGTAAGCATTGGTGGCAACAGAACGACCGATTTTTCGTTGTTCGCCCGAAAATTCGGCCGATGGCCGGCATTACAGATTTCAAAGTCGGGGGACGTTCTGATTTCAGGTGCGATTTGCAAGCCGACCGAGAAACCGCGTCGATAGGACCGTTCTAAGCCCGGGTTAGAAATTTGCAGAGCGATTTCCATTATATTCTACGTCTGCGAAATCGCAACAAAATTGCAGAAGAATTAACGCAACTACTTTAAAAAAAAACCACACCGCTGCAAATCGCACGTGTTAAGACGCCGACATTCACATGCATTAGATGCAATTTCAGTTTCCAAATCGCACTGGAAATCGCACCGGCATGACAGAGCACTTAGTCACCAGTCGCAAGGCTGCAATTTAAAATCATGCGATTTGTGTGCAATTTCAGTGTGATTTCTGAAGACTTTATGGCGACTTATGAAGATTTTTAACGATTTCTTGCCATTTGCATTTCCATTGGATTCTATGTAGGTGAAATCGCAAGAAAACTGCAGAAAAACGTCACGCAAGAACGACTTAAGAAACCGTGCCGCAGCAAATCGCACATGTTAAGACGCTGACATTCACATGAATTAGATGCGATTTCAATTTCCAAATCGTACTGGAAATCGCACCGGCATGACCGAGCACTTAGTCACCAGTCGCAAGGCTGCGATTTAAAATCGTGTGATTTCTGAAGACTGTATTGCGACTTGTGAATATTTTTAATGATTTCTTGCAATTTGCGGTGCGATTTCCATTGTATTCTATGTTTGCGAAATCACAAAGAAACTTCAGAAAAAGTCACGCAAGAACTACTTTGGAAACCGCGCCGCAGCAAATCGCACAGGTTAAGACACCGACATTTACATGCATTAGATGCGATTTCAACTCCCAAATCGCACCAGTATGACCGGGCACTTAGACACCGATCACGCTGCTGCGATTTAAAATCATGCGATTTGTGTGATTTCTGAAGACTTTACTGCGACTTGTGAAGATTTTTAACGATTTCTTGCCATTTGCGGTGCGATTTCCATTCTATTCTATGTATGTGAAATCGCAACAAAATTTCACAAAAAGTCACGCAAGAATTGCTTTAGAAATCGCACCGCAGCAATTCACATTCATTAAGACGCTGACATTTTAAGACACTGACATTCACATGCATTAGATGCGATTTCAGTTACCAAATCGCACTGGAAATCGCACCAGTATGACCGGGCACTTAGTCACCAGTCACACCGCTGCGATTTAAAATCATGCGATTTGTTTGCGATGGAAATCGCTCTGCAAATTGCAAGAAATCGTTAAAAATCTTCACAAGTCGCAATAAAATCTTTAGAAATCGCACCTGAAATCACACTGAAATTGCACAAAAATCGCACGATTTTAAATTGCAGCGGTGGTGTGACTGGTGACTAAGCCCCCGGTCACATTGGGTGCGATTTGGCATGCAATTTGCATGCCCTGCAACTTGCAAATAGCATACCATCTTCACAAGCCGCAATAAAGTCTTCAGAAATCACGCTGAAATTGCACACAAATCGCACGATTTTAAATCGCAGCGGTGTGACCGGTGACTAAATGCGCTGCACGTGTTAAGACGCTGACGTTCACATTCATTAGATGCGATTTTAAATTCCCAAATCGCACTGGAAATCGCACCGGCATGACTGAGCACTTGCACCCCGGTCACATTATTACGGTGAAGTCGCACGATTTTTTAAAATCGGGTGACCTGCCGATTTCATTGCGATGTGCAAGATCTCTATGAAAGTCGCACCTGAAGTAGCGCATGCACTACTTTGGAAATCGGTGCGGCTCCGACCCAAGTGGGAACTGCACTGATATGACCGCTGTAATTGCTGACAATAGGGTGAGATTTGAAAGTCGCAGGGCATGCAAATCGCATGCCAAGTCGCACCTGATGTGACCGAGGTTTTAGTCACCAGTCACGCCTCTGCGATTTAAAATCGTGCGATTTATGTGCAATTTCAGCACAATTTCAGGTGCGACTTTATTGAGACCTGTGAAGATTTTTATTCTGCGATTTGTGTACAATTTCAGCGGACGTCGCTCGGGTCCTCCTTCATGGTAGAGGCGATCAAAGACCGTAGCGTCTTGAGGAGGCCGCGTTGTCGAATCGCTGTGCTTAGCAGTGAGCCCGAGGAACAGTGGCGAGCGGCGAGGGGGGGGCGTACTGGAACGTCCCCTCCCGCTGCTATGAAAAGCGATCCAATGGCTAGAGAGTCGCTAGCACCGCTTTAATGAAAAAAAAACGGGGTTGCGACTGGAAAATCGCATCGTTGACATACGTGTTGCGCTCTTCACGTGGCGATGGTGCGCACACGCCTCTTCAGACGCCCGTCCTCCATTTTTTCTGTCTTTCCTGTGTTGACACGTGAACTTCATCTCGGCAGGGCGACGACTCCGGCGGACCGCTGAACTGTCAGAACGCACAGGCGACTGGGAGGTTCATGGGGTCGTTAGCTTCGGATCATCGCTGGGATGCAACTACTACAAGAAGCCCTCCGTCTTCACCAGAGTCTCCGAATATAACAGCTGGATCAGCACGGTTCGTACCTATTGCTAAGAGGTCCATGTATATAAAATTTGCATCAATCAGTTCGCAGAGATCCAAGGCTTCAGAGTCATTTGCTTTCTGCGTTTTTTTGTCTGGAGGATCCTCAGCGCCATCTAGTGGTAGCAATGGGGGATTTTCCTGGAGTAAATGCCACGTTATTGACGCTAGATGGCGCTGACAACTTTAGAAAATGAAACTGTTAGCGAAGGTTCGCACTGATGTGGTTTCTGTGCGGTTTCCCCATCAGAATCGCACCCCGAGAGAGGAGAGCGGATATAGGGAATGCGGGGGGCCCGGGAGAGATCGGATATAGTGAATGCAGGGTCCGGGGGAGAGCAGATATAGTGAATGCGGGGGTCCGGGGAGAGCGGATATAGTGAATGCAGGGGTCCGGGGAGAGCGGGATATAGTGAATGCGGGGTCCGGGGAGAGCGGATATAGTGAATGCGGGGTCCGGGGAGAGCGGATATAGTGAATGCAGGGTCCGGGGAGAGGCGGATATAGTGAATGCGGGGTCCGGGGAGAGCGGATATAGTGAATGCAGGGGCCGGGGAGAGCGGATATAGTGAATGCGGGGTCCGGGGAGAGCAGATATAGTGAATGCGGGGTCCGGGGGAGACCAGATATAGTGAATGCAGGGTCCGGGGAGAGCGGATATAGTGAATGCGGGGTCCGGGGGAGAGGGATACAGTGAATGCGGGGTCCGGGGAGAGCGGATATAGTGAATGGGGTGTCTCCGGGGAGAGCGGATATAGTGAATGCGGGGTCCGGGGAGAGCGGATATAGTGAATGCGGGGTCCGGGGAGAGCGGGTGTGCGGGGTCCGGGGAGAGCGGATATAGTGAATGCGGGGTCCGGGGAGAGGGGATATAGTGAATGCGGGGTCCGGGGGAGAGCGGATATAGTGAATGCGGGGGGTCCGGGGAGAGCGGATATAGTGAATGCGGGGTCCGGGGAGAGCGGATATAGTGAATGCGGGGTCCGGGGAGAGCGGATATAGTGAATGCGGGGTCCGGGGAGAGCGGGATATAGTGAATGCGGGGTCCGGGGAGAGCGGATATAGTGAATGCGGGGTCCGGGGAGAGCGGATATAGTGAATGCGGGGTCCGGAGTTCAGTAACACTTTCATTTAATTGTATCTCTTGGAATATTTTGAGCTGAACACTGAAGGCCGGTAACATACAATCTCCTTTTCTTGCTCTCTCAGACCATCGCATCCAACTAAAGCTGACCTGCGATCCTGGAGTCTCTCTGATATTCGGATGGTTCCGGGCCGATCGATGATGATTTTCTTCATGAAATATTTTGGCTTTTTGAAAAAAAAAAACGAAGTCTGTCTTTCTGATCTGGATTAATAAAGTTTTTTTCCTGCCATTGTTCAGTTTGGAGTCTTTTGAATATCCATCCTAACTGCCACTATTATTATTATACATTTATAGCTCTAAAATATACCGCACTGAGCGCTGTACAGAGATCACTGAGCCAGTCCCATCAGTCTCTGTACCAGAGGAGCTTACGCTCTGTACCAGAGGAACGCTCTAATGTCCCCCAGTCCAGTCCCATCCCCCACAGTCACATCATGGTTCTGTACCAGAGGAGCTTTACGCTCTAATGTCCCCTCCCCCACAGTCCCATCAGTCTGTACCAGAGGAGCTTACATTCTAATGTCCCCCACAGTCCCCTCCCCCACGGTCACATCAGTCTCTGTACAGAGGAGCTTACACTCTAATGTCCCCTCCCCCACAGTCCCATCAGTCTCTGTACAGAGGAGCTTACGCTCTAATGTCCCCTCCCCCCACAGTCCCATCAGTCTCTGTACAGAGGAGCTTACGCTCTAATGTCCCCTCCCCCACAGTCCCATCAGTCTCTGTACAGAGGAGCTTACACTCTAATGTCCCCTCCCCCCAGTCCCATCAGTCTCTGTACAGAGGAGCTTACGCTCTAACGTCCCCTCCCCCACAGTCACATCAGTCTCTGTACAGAGGAACTGATGCTCTAATGTCCCCTACGCTCTAACGTCCCCTCCCCCCCCCCCAACTGCAGCATGAAGTCACATCACTGGAAGTGCCTTAATGTTGTGTCCTGTCTGACCCATCACAAAGTAGAACTGTAAAGAATGACTGCTGAGATAAATCCAGTTGCAGCGCAGGACACACTACAAGCACATATGCCCTGTCTGTCATTCAGTAAAGAACAGTTGTTGAGATAAAAGCAGCGGCAGTATAGGACACACTAGAAGCACTTGTGTCCTGTCTGATCCATTCAGTAAAGAAGTGGTGAAATAAAACCTATTGCAGGATAGGTCACACTAGAAGTGCCCATTGTGTCACGTCTGACCCATCGCAGAGCAGTAAAATATAACTGCTGAGACAAAACAAATGCAGGATAGGTCACACTGGAAGCGCTTGTTATGTCCCTTCAGACCAATCACAAAGTAGAACAGTAGAGAATAAGTGCTGAGATAAAACCAATTGCAGGATAAGTCACACAATGAGATCGTTCCCTGACCCATCACTGAGCAGAACAGTATTATTATTATTCAGGATTATATTATTATTATTATTATACAGGATTTATGGCGCCAACAGTTTGCTCAGCGCTTTACAATATAACGGGAGACAATACAGCAACAATACAGTTCAATACAAGAGGGATAGGAGGCCCTGATCCTGGGAGCTTACAATCTAGGAGGGAGGGGCTAGTGGTACAAGAGGTAGTAACTGTGGGGGATGGACTGGTAGGAGGAGGAGAAGATTCCATTATTAGCTGAGGGCAGGATAGGCTTCCCTGAAGAGATCGGTTTTCAGAGTGCACCTAAAAAGTGAGCAGAGTGGGTGATAGTCTGATGGATTGGGGTAGGGAGCTCCAGAGGATGGGGGAAGCTCTGGAGAAGTCCTGGAGACGAGCATGGGAGGAGGAGACAAGGGAGCTAGAGAGCAGGAGATCGTGCGAGGAGTGGAGAGGACGGTTTGGGTGATATTTGGAGACAAGATTGGTGATGTAATTTGGGGCGGAGTTATAAATGGCTTTATATGTTATTGTTAATGTTTTGAATTTGATTCGTTAGCAATGGGAAGCCAGTGTAGGGATTGGCAGAGAGGGGTGGAGGTCAGTGGAGGGATTGGCAGAGAGGGATGGAGGACACTGAATGGAGGCCAGTGGAGGGATTGGCAGAGAGGGGTGGAGGACACTGAATGGAGGCCAGTGGAGGGATTGGCAGAGAGGGGTGGAGGACACTGAGTGGAGGGAGGGATTGGCAGAGAGGGGTGGAGGACACTGAATGGAGGCCAGTGGAGGGATTGGCAGAGAGGGGTGGAGGACACTGAGTGGAGGCCAGTGGAGGGATTGGCAGAGAGGGGTGGAGGACACTGAGTGGAGGCCAGTGGAGGGATTGGCAGAGAGGGGTGGAGGTTACTGAGTGGAGGGAGGGATTGGCAGAGAGGGGTGGAGGACACTGAGTGGAGGCCAGTGGAGGGATTGGCAGAGGGGGGTGGCAGAAGCGGAGCGGTTGGTGAGGTGGATGAGTCTGGCCGCTGAGTTCAGGATAGACTGGAGCGGGGATAGCGTGTGTTTGGGTAGGCCGGCAAGGAGGGAGCTGCAGTAGTCCAGGCGTGAGATGATGAGGGAGTGTACAAGTAGTTTAGTAGTGTCTGGGTGTGAATGTGCGTATTTTGGAGATGTTTCGGAGGTGAAGTCTAAAAGATTTGGACAACGATTGGACATGGGGTTGGAAGGACAGGTTGGAGTCCAGGGTGACACCCAGGACTTTGGCTTGCGGGGTGGACTGATGGTGGCATTGTTGGTCGTGATGGAGAGGATGGGGGGGGGGGGGCGCGGGGTGGGGGGAAGATTAGGAGCTCGGTTTTGGAAAGGTTCAATTTTGAGGAAATGGAGCGACATCCAGTCTGATATGTCGTTCAGGAGGTGCGTGATTCGGGCGGATACTGAAGGGGCGAGGTGAGGAGGAGACTGAAGGGGCGAGGTGAGGAGGAGACTGAAGGGGTGAGGTGAGGAGGAGACTGAAGGGGCGAGGTGAGGAGGAGACTGAAGGGGCGAGGTGAGGAGGAGACTGAAGGGGTGAGGTGTGGAGGAGACTGAAGGGGTGAGGTGAGGGGGCGGAGAATGAAGGGGCGAGGTGAGGAGGAGACTGAAGGGGCGAGGTGAGGAGGAGACTGAATGGGGGGGGAGGTGAGGGGGCGGAGACTGAAGGGGTGAGGTGAGGAGGAGACTGAAGGGGTGAGGTGAGGGGGCAGAGACTGAAGGGGTGAGGTGAGGGGGCGGAGACTGAAGGGGCGAGGTGAGGAGGAGACTGAAGGGGCGAGGTGAGGAGACTGAGGGGCGAGGTGAGAGGAGACTGAAGGGGTGAGGTGAGGAGGAGACTGAAGGGGTGAGGTGAGGGAGCGGAGACTGAAGGGGTGAGGTGAGGGGGCGGAGACTGAAGGGGCGAGGTGAGGAGGAGACTGAAGGGGCGAGGTGAGGAGACTGAGGGGCGAGGTGAGGAGGAGACTGAAGGGGTGAGGTGAGGAGGAGACTGAAGGGGGTGAGGTGAGGGAGCGGAGACTGAAGGGGTGAGGTGAGGAGGAGACTGAGGGGTGAGGTGAGGGGGCAGAGACTGAAGGGGCAAGGTGAGGAGGAGACTGAAGGGGTGAGGTGAGGGGGCAGAGACTGAAGGGGTGAGGTGAGGGGGCGGAGACTGAAGGGGTGAGGTGAGGAGGAGACTGAGGGGTGAGGTGAGGGGGCAGAGACTGAAGGGGCAAGGTGAGGAGGAGACTGAAGGGGTGAGGTGAGGGGGCAGAGACTGAAGGGGTGAGGTGAGGAGGAGACTGTAGGGGTGAGTTGAGGGGTTGAGAGGTAGGTTTGCGTGTCATCGGCATAGAGGTGGTAGTTGAAGCCATGGTAGTGTATCAGTTTGCAGAGGGAGGAGGTATAGATGGAAAGGAGGAGGGGCCCGAGGACAGAGCCTTGGGGGACCCCGACAGAGAGGGGGAGGGAGGGGAAGGTGGCAGTGTTGTAGGTAACGTGGAAGGAGCGCTGGGATAGATGGGAGGAGAGCCAGGAGAGAGCAGAATCTCTGAGGCCGAGGGAGTGTAGTTTTTTTGAGGAGGAGGGGGTGGTGGACTGTGTCGAAGGCCGCGGAGAGGTCGAGGAATAGGAGGACTGAATGGTGGCCATTAGCTTTGGCGGTTAGCAGGTCGTTGGTGAGGTGAGTCGGGCGGTTTCAGTGGAGTGTAGGGGACGGAAGCCGGACTGTAGGGGATCGAGGAGGTTGTTGTTGGTGAGGGAGGAGCTCAGGTGATTGTAGGCTAAATGTTCGAGGAGTTTGGATGTAAAATGGCAGCAGGAGATGGGTCTGAGGTTGTTCGGTCGTCGGTGGGGTCCAGGGAGGGTTTTATGAGTATGGGGGGTGATGTGTGTGTGCTTAAGGGTGGAGGGGAATGCGCCTGTAGAGAGGGAGAGATTGAAGATGTGGGTGAGGGAGCGTAGGATGGAGGGGGAGGGGGACCGCAGGAGTTGTGAGGGTTCAGGGGGCAGGTGGTGAGGGGACGGGGCAAGCGGTGAGGGGGCAGGGGCAGGTGGTGAGGGGGCAGGTGGTGAGGGGGCAGGTGGTGAGGGGACAGGGGACAGGGGGTGAGGGGACAGGTGGTGAGGGGACAGGGAGTGAGGGGACAGGGGGCAGGTGGTGAGGGGGCAGGTGGTGAGGGGACAGGTGGTGAGGGTCCAGGTGGTGAGGGGACAGGTGGTGAGGGGACAGGGGGTGAGGGGACAGGTGGTGAGGGGACAGGGGGCAGGTGGTGAGGGGACAGGTGGTGAGGGACAGGGGGTGAGGGGACAGGTGGTGAGGGGACAGGGGGCAGGTGGTGAGGGGACAGGGGGTGAGGGGACAGGGGCAGGGGGGCAGGTGGTGAGGGGACAGGGGGTGAGGGGACAGGTGGTGAGGGGACAGGGGGTGAGGGGACAGGTGGTGAGGGTCCAGGTGGTGAGGGGACAGGTGGTGAGGGGACAGGGGGTGAGGGGACAGGTGGTGAGGGGACAGGTGGTGAGGGGACAGGGGGCAGGTGGTGAGGGGACAGGGGGTGAGGGGACAGGTGGTGAGGGGACAGGGGGCAGGTGGTGAGGGGACAGGGGGTGAGGGGACAGGGGGCAGGTGGTGAGGGGACAGGGGGTGAGGGGACAGGTGGTGAGGGGGACAGGGGGTGAGGGGACAGGGGGTGAGGGGACAGGGGGCAGGTGGTGAGGGGACAGGGGGTGAGGGGACAGGTGGTGAGGGGACAGGGGGTGAGGGGACAGGTGGTGAGGGGGCAGGTGGTGAGGGGACAGGTGGTGAGGGGACAGGGGGGCAGGTGGTGAGGGGACAGGTGGTGAGAGGAAACAGGGGGTGAGGGGACAGGTGGTGAGGGGACAGGGGGCAGGTGGTGAGGGGGGCAGGTGGTGAGGGGACAGGTGGTGAGGGTCCAGGTGGTGAGGCGGGCTTCGGAGAACATCTTAGTAACCTCTTCGGTGGTGGTGAGGTGAAGGGAGCGAAGTGTTGAGGGGGTTATTGTGTGAGGGATGCTAGGTGGGGGGGGGGTGCAGGGACATCCCTACGAATTGCGTCAATCTTGTCTTTGAAGTGGTTGGCAATCTCATAAAACATGACTGCTGAGATAAAACCAATTGCAGGATAGGCCACACTGGCAGCGCTTGTTATGCTCCCTCTGACCAATCACAGAGTAGAATAGAGAATAAGTGCTGAGATAAAACCAAGCGCAGGATAGGCCACACTTTCATCAGTAAAAGAGGGCGGTGGGCGGTGACAGGCTTTGCATTGGTTGAATAGGACAGACGGAGTTGCCCAGCAACCAACTCCAAGCCATGGACCGGTCACAAGACGTTTCGTACTGAGTTGCTCCAGTGCGCATGCGGAATGCCCTGACAGCCCGCACAGGACACGTGAGGTGAGGCGCAGTCGCAGTCGGGGGCTGACAGGTGTGTACGGCGCAGGCGCAGTGTGTCAGGGGTTGTACGGCGCAGGCGCAACGAGAGGCGAGGGTGACAGGAGGGTTCGGTGGCAGGGACAGGCTGCAGCGGAGGGTCGCCATGACGCTCTTCCATTTCGGGAATTGTTTCGCTCTGGCCTATTTCCCGTATTTCATCACCTACAAGTGCAGCGGCCTGTGAGTGGAGGAGTGGAGGAGGGGCGGTGGTGGGGCCCCGGGGGTGGGTGAGGGGCCCCTGACTGACTGACTCTCTGTGTGTATTGCAGCTCCGAGTACAACGCCTTCTGGAGATGTGTGCAGGCCGGGGCCACCTACCTGTGTGTCCAACTCTGCAAGGTAAGGGGGGGGGAGGGAGTCTGGGTTTTTTGGGGTGTTCTAGGTATGAGAGGGGGGTTCTTGGTGGTGTAGAGGGGGAGGCGTTAGTTTTTGGGGTGTTCTAGGTAGAGTGGGGGGAGGGGGGTTCTGGGTGGTGTGGAAGGGGAGAGGGTAGTTTTTGCGGTGTTCTAGGTAGAGTAGGAGAGGGGGGTTCTTGATGGTGTAGAGAGGGGGGAGGGGTAGTTTTTGGGTGGTTCTAGGTATAGTGGGGGAGGGGGGTTCTGGGTGGTGTAGGGGAGGGGGGTTCTGGGTTGTGTAGAGTGGGGGAGGTGGGTTCTGGTTGGTGTAGAAGGGGGGGAGGGGGTCATTTTTGGGGTGTTCTAGGTAGTGTAGAGTGGGGGAGGGGGTAGTGTTTGGGGTGTTCTAGGTGGTAGTGTGTTTCGGGCTCACCATGGACATTGTTACATTTGTATTACAGATGCTTTTCTTGGCGACGTTTTTCCCGACATGGGAAGGAGCAGCGGGAGCGTACGACTTCATTGGGGTGAGATCAGAAACGCTCTTCTCTCTGTTCTCCCTGCGCTCGTCCCTTTCCTAAGTTCTGCAGGATTATCGGGGGAGGGATTGTTGGCATAAAAGGGAACTACAGTCCAATGCTTCAAGAGATACACTATATTGCCCCAAATATTGGGCCGCCGGCCTTTCCACGCACATGACCTTTAATGGCCCCCCAGTCTTAGTACGTAGGGTTCAATATTGAGTTGGCCCCCCGCACATGACCTTTCAAATGGCCCCCCAGTCTTAGTCTGTAGGGTTCAATATTGAGTTGGGCCCCGCCCTTTGCAGCTATAACAGCTTCAACTCTTCTGGGAAGGCCGTCCACAAGGTTTAGGAGGGTGTCTATGGGAAGGTTGGACCATTCTTCCAGAAGCACATTTGTCAGGTCAGGCACTGATGTCGGGGGAGGAGGCCTGGCTCGCAGTCTCCGCTCTAATTCATCCCAAAGGTGTTCTATGGGGTTGAGGTCAGGACTCTGTGCAGGACAGTCAAGTTCCTCCACCCCAAACTGGCTCCTCCATGTCTTTATGGACCTTGCTTTGTGCACTGGTGCGCAGTCATGTTGGAACAGGAAGGGGCCATCCCCAAACTCCTCCCACAAAGTTGTCCAAAATGTTGCCTTAAGAGTTCCCTTCACTGGAACTAGGGAGCCAAGCTCAACCCCTGAAAAACAACCCCACACCACAATCCCCCCTCCACCAAACTTTACACTTGGCACAATGCAGTCAGGCAAGTTCCGTTCTCCTGGTCACCACCAAACCCAGACACGTCCATCGGATTGCCAGACAGAAGTGTGATTGGTCACTCCAGAGAACACGTCTCCCCTGCTCTAGAGTCCAGTGGCGGCGTGCTTTACACCACAGCATCCGACGCTTTGCATTGCACTTGGTGATGGAAGGCTTGGATGCAGCTGCTCGGCCATGGAAACCCATTCCATGAAGCTCTCTACACACTGTTGTTGGGCTCATCTGAAGGCCACACCAAGTTTGGAGGTCTTTAGCTATTGACTCTGCAGACAGTTGGCGACTTCTGCGCACTGTGCGCTTCAGCATGCGCTGACCCCGCCCTGTCATGTGACGTGGCCTACCACTTGGTGGCTGAGTGGCTGTTGTTCCCAGTGGCTTCCACTTTGTTATAATCCCACTAACAGTTGAGCGTGTGGAATATTTAGTAGCCAGGAAATGTCACGGATGGATTTATTGCCCAGGTGACCACCTATCACGGGACCACACTTGGAGTCACTGAGCTCCTGAGAGCGACCCATTCTTTCACCAATGTTTGTAGAAGCAGTCTGCATGCCTAGGGGCTTGATTGTATACACCTGTGTCCATGGAGGGGATTGGAGCACCTGAATCACATGATATGGAGGGGATTGGAGCACCTGAATCACATGATGTGGCGGGGATTGGAACACCTGAATCACATGATGTGGAGGGGATTGGAACACCTGAATCACATGATGTGGAGGGGATTGGAACACCTGAATCACATGATGTGGAGGGGATTGGAACACCTGAATCACATGATGTGGAGGGGATTGGAACACCTGAATCACATGATGTGGAGGGGATTGGAACACCTGAATCACATGATGTGGAGGGGATTGGAACACCTGAATCACATGATGTGGAGGGGATTGGAACACCTGAATCACATGATGTGGAGTGGATTGGAACACCTGAATCACATGATGTGGAGGGGATTGGAACACCTGAATCACATGATGTGGAGGGGATTGGAACACCTGAATCACATGATGTGGAGGGGATTGGAACACCTGAATCACATGATGTGGAGGGGATTGGAACACCTGAATCACATGATGTGGAGGGGATTGGAACACCTGAATCACATGATGTGGAGGGATTGGAACACCTGAATCACATGATGTGGAGGGCGGGGACAATACTTTCGGCAATATAGTGTGTATGTAAAAGAGATCAGTGAGAGGAATACTTGTAGATGATGTACCAGGCGGTCAGCTTTTTTATTAGAGCTGCTGAATGTACTCGGCACCCCCAGCTGTCATTTTGGCAGCTGGGAATTGTCCGTAAATGCAAGGTGGGAGGGTCAGGAGCATGGAGTGTACTGTACACCTCCCGTGTTCCTCCTAGATTGGATATCAGACTGTTTCAGCCTGTGCGTATTTCATCAGTGTTGTTTTTTTTTGTTTTTTTTGGCTTTTTTTTGCTGACGTTTCATTGTTTAATATTGGTTTGATTGGAATGTTTTCTCTCCTCCCAGGAGTTTATGAAGGCCACAGTTGACCTGGCGGACCTCCTGGGGCTGCACTTAGTCATGTCCAGGAATGCGGGGAAGGGAGAGTATAAAATAATGGTGGCGGCCATGGGATGGGCGACGGCAGAGCTGGTCATGTCTAGGTGAGAAACGTACGACTCGTCTTCTTTCCCTTCATTGGTGAGTTCTCTGAGCCGTGAGCCACACTGAGCGTCTTCTGTGGAATCCTCTGTAGTAAGGATTTTCTGTGGCAGCGAACCTTTCGATAGGACATACTCAGCCACTGATGCCATATTTCATGAAACGTCACGTTCTCCAGTCCTCACACCCTCTAATTGCACCCCTTCCCTCCACTCAACTGAATCAAATGGGGCTTCTTGCTTCTTCTTGTTGATATTTGATGTTGGCGGGCAAAACCACGTACAGCCGTGTTATCTGTTCACGGGAATCTGTGAAGGGGAAGTCCCATCAGCCACCATGCCGGGGGGGGATTCACAGAAAGTGCCAGCAGCGTGGTACTGACATCAGCACACTTGTCTGTTTACTTTCTGCAGCTCCATAACAGAAGGTCTGTACCCCCATATAGACCTGGGGTTAAACAATGTTTATTTCCTGAGATAAAAGAAACAATGTTTCCTTTTAGTTTATTTCCCCGAGATAAAAGAAACAATGTTTCCTTTTACTTTATTTCCCCGAGATAAAAGAAACAATGTTTCCTTTTAGTTTATTTCCCCAGATAAAAGAAACAATGTTTCCTTTTAGTTTATTTCCTGAGATAAAAGAAACAATGTTTCCTTTTAGTTTATTTCCTGAAATAAAAGAAACAATGTTTCCTTTTAGTTTATTTCCCGAGATAAAATAAACAATGTTTCCTTATAGTTTATTTCCTGAGATAAAAGAAACAATGTTTCCTTTTAGTTTATTTCCCAAAGATAAAAGAAACAATGTTTCCTTTTAGTTTATTTCCTGAGATAAAAGAAACAATGTTTCCTTTTAGTTTATTTCCTGAAATAAAAGAAACAATGTTTCCTTTTAGTTTTATTTCCCCGAGATAAAATAAACAATGTTTCCTTATAGTTTATTTCCTGAGATAAAAGAAACAATGTTTCCTTTTAGTTTTATTTCCCAAAGATAAAAGAAACAATGTTTCCTTTTAGTTTATTTCCCGAGATAAAAGAAACAAACTTTCCTTTTAGTTTATTTCCCGAGATAAAAGAAACAATGTTTCCTTTTAGTTTATTTCCCAGGATAAAAGAAATAATGTTTCCTTTTAGTTTGTTTCCCAGGATAAAAGAAAAATAATGTTTCCTTTTAGTTTTGTTTCCCAGGATAAAAGAAATAATGTTTCCTTTTAGTTTGTTTCCCAGGATAAAAGAAATAATGTTTCCTTTTAGTTTGTTTCCCAGGATAAAAGAAATAATGTTTCCTTTTAGTTTGTTTCCCAGGATAAAAAGAAATAATGTTTCCTTTTAGTTTGTTTCCCAGGATAAAAGAAACAAACTTTCCTTTTAGTTTGTTTCCCAGGATAAAAGAAACAAAGTATCCTTTAGCTCAGGGGAAAGTGACAGCTAATTCTGTGAGCTATAGTGAAAAAAAAAAAAAAAAAAGCTGTCAACCATGGCAACAGCCAATATTCAGATGCGGAGAACCCACCTAGTACAGGAAGATGAGGCTTACTCCATCCTTTATAAGTCGCCTCCTTTTTTGTTTCCCCCCTCAGGTGTCTACCTCTCTGGGTCGGTGCTCGAGGAATTGAATTCGATTGGAAATATATCCAAATGAGCATCGATTCCAACATCAGCTTGGTAGGACATACTCTCCTTGTGCGGTTTGCTGGGGTTTTCTCCCCTCGCGATGCTCTGATTGCACTTGTTGACCTTCTCCTCCTGCGTCCTCAGGTTCATTACATGGCTGTAGCTGCCCTCGTGTGGATGTGGACACGGTACGACCTCCCCACTCACTTCCGCCTTCCTGTGACTGTCCTCCTGGGGCTCAGCATGTATAAAGCCTTCCTCATGGAGTGAGTATCGTCTGATGTAAACGATTCGTTGATTCCCGGCTTGGCGGATGCCATATCTTAACCTCTTGGCTCCGGCCGAACGCAAATGTGTGGCCTCCCGGCGTCTGGGCCTAGACCCCGAGCGGCCACACATTTGCGTTCTATTAACCCCTTCCTGTCTGGGCCGTTGTATATAAATGGCAGGACGGTGGCAGTGCAGGGTCAGGTGGCTGTTTATTACCGGCTTTCCTGGCCCCCTGCTTGTGCTCGCTCCCTGGAAGTGCACGGCACCACGATCCGGTGCCCGCTGTGTCTGGAAACACAGATCGTTGTACGGGACCTCTCTGCGACGTCCCGATCATGTGATCACTGATTGGCCAATCAGTGATCACATGCAGAGTAGTAAGCAAGATGTCGACATCATTGCTTACTACTAGTGAAATCTGTGAATGATCACAGAGGTCACATGGTACAGGGCCATTCACAACAGCCTTGTACCATGTGACAAGCTGTGACCAATCACAGCTCACACAGTATTTCGCAATGGCTGCAAGAATGCAGCCAGAGAGAAAGAAATGATTGCTTTTACAGCCTTTATGGGTATAAAAGCAATTGGTGTAAAAGAAAAAAAAAAAAATCTTCATCACCCCCCACAAGTAGTACAGTGTCACCATGGTGACCCCACACTGCTAGGGTGACGGTATGTAAAAAAAAAAAAAAAAAAAGCATAAATAAAATAAAAATGTAAAAAAAAGTTTAAAAATGATAATTTTTGTTATAAACTAATTTGGGTTATTATTTTTTTTACTAAAAAGATAACGGAATAAATTTTGGCCAGGATTTATGATGAAATATTATTTATTTGCAAAATTTTATAAGAAAAACACTTTTTTCAAAATTTTTGGACATTTTCATTTACATAGCAAAAAAAAATAAAAATCCCAGCGGTGAATAAATACCACCAAAATAACGCTTTTTTCTGTCTCAGAAAAATGCTAAAAAAACTCATATGGGTCCAGTGTTGCATGACAGCGCAATTGTCATTCAAAGTGTGATAGCGCTGAAAGCTGAAAATTGCCCTGGTCAGGAAGGGGGGGAAAGTGTCCGGACTGGAAGGGGGGGAAAGTGTCCAGACTGGAAGGGGGGGAAAGTGTCCGGACTGGAAGGGGGTGAAAGTGTCCGGACTGGAAGGGGGAAAGTGTCCGGACTGGAAGGGGGTGAAAGTGTCCGGACTGGAAGGGGGTGAAGGTGTCCGGACTGGAAGGGGGTGAAGGTGTCCGGACTGGAAGGGGGTGAAGGTGTCCGGACTGGAAGGGGGTGAAGGTGTCCGGACTGGAAGGGGGTGAAGGTGTCCGGACTGGAAGGGGGTGAAAGTGTCCGGACTGGAAGGGGGGGAAAGTGTCCGGACTGGAAGGGGGTGAAAGTGTCCGGACTGGATGGGGGGGAAAGTGTCCGGACTGGAAGGGGGGGGAAAGTGTCCGGACTGGAAGGGGGGGAAAGTGTCCGGACTGGAAGGGGGGGAAAGTGTCCGGACTGGAAGGGGGTGAAGGTGTCCGGACTGGGAAGGGGGTGAAGGTGTCCGGACTGGAAGGGGGGTGAAGGTGTCCGGACTGGAAGGGGGTGAAGGTGTCCGGACTGGAAGGGGGTGAAGGTTGTCCGGACTGGAAGGGGGGGAAAGTGTCCGGACTGGAAGGGTTAAAAAAAAAAACCATATGTGCTGAGAGTGAACGCCCTGCGCGCTCCCAGCACACGTGTCCAGTACTCAAGGAAAGGTCCCGATCTCTTTCGGTCGGGACCTTTCCTGGTCATGTCACGGCGGTCACATGACCCTAATCCCCGCCCCGCTTCCCAGCTTCTGAAACCCTTAAAGGGCCGGGAGGCGCCTGCACCAAGGGGTTAAGGTTTATGTAAACCCCAACCATCAACTTCTATTGTTTGCTCCCTTTTGGTCTGTTAAACCCAATCCTGACGCTGCCTCCTGGCCATTTTAACCGCTTCCCAACCGGGCACGTCTACCCCCTTCATGCTGCACTGATGGGTGGCACTGACGGCACTGCTGGACACTGGGTGGTACTGCTGGACAGCACTGATGGGTGGCACTGCAGGGCACAGGTGGGAGGCACTGCTGGGTAGCACTGATCATCCAGGCACTGATGATCAGTGCTGATCCCTCCTCTGACAATTACCAGCTTCCGGCAGTACTTTCCTCATGCTGTAACAATGTGAGGAAAGTGCAGCAGATATCCGGCAACTGTATTTACGTGGTGATCTGCTGTGTCATTGAACACAGCTGATCACGGGTAAAAGGCTGCTGTGATTGGCCGTTTTACCGTATCATGTGATCAACGGTGTCTGTAGGACACAGCGATCACGGCGGCGTCGGGTGTGCGCTGCAGGGGGCATGTTCTGAGAGGAGGTCCATGGATGCCCCTCCCAGAACTAGACAACCGCACTGTAGCCGTCTTCCATCTTGCATTGAGACCTACGGGAGGCGACGTCGCGTTGAGGCCTGCGGGAGGCGCCGTCGCATTGAGACCTACGGGAGATGACGTCACGTTGAGGTCTGCGGGAGGCAGTGTGTGAACCCAGGTGCCAGGACGCAGTTTCGTGAGGTTTGTCGAGCGGGGGGGGGGGGCGGGGGGGGTGTTTCTGTAGTCCTGTCCTATGGAGCCTCACTTTGGAATTTCCTCTAACTTTTGCTCTGTGTTCCGTTCCTTGATTCGTTCATTGAATTATTTTTTTTTTTTCTCTCCCTCAGTTGCTTCGTCCACATCTTCCTGCTGGGCAGCTGGACTGCCCTCCTCCTCAAATCCGTGGCCACCGGTCTCCTGTCCTTAAGCTGCCTCACCCTGTTTGTCAGTCTCGTCCACGGAAACTAAGGAAGGCACAGAAGAAGTGAACTCTGACCATCGGCCGCTGCCTCCTTTGTTCTGGGAGGGAGGTTGATGCCAAAGCGCTCTGGGTTAAAAAAAAAAAAAATACAAAAAACTTTATACGTATTAATATGTTTTAAATTAATTTGCTAAGAAAAAGCTTTATATAATAAAACAAACGTGGACCATCTATTTGTGTTTTTGTCATTTTTATGGTTACTTTGTGGCCAGATGTAAGCTTTAAAGATGGAAGATTAAAACTCAAACCGTTTCAGTCAACCCCTGCCCCCCCCCCCCCCCCCAGGCGGCTACCTGACCTTGGATTGGTATCAAGAGATCCCTGAACTTTCCACTTCCTAATAGGTGATTGAACAGTATTGATTGGGCATATTCAAGGCTTTGGACATCTTTTTATGTCCTTTTCCATCTTTATAAAGTTCCATTACCTTGTTACGCAGGACTTTTGACAGTTCTTTTCTGCTCCCCATGGCTCAGTATCTAGCCTAGTCAGAGCTTCCATGTAAGAGCTAACAAACTCATTGACTATTTATACACTGACACTAATTGCAATGTAAAAAGCCGCAGATGTGGGACATTAACTTCTAATTAGCACCTTGTGTGTCTGTACCAAGGCCAAACATTCCAGGAGGCGGAGACTTCTAATCCGGGGGCGGAGACTTCTGATCCGGGCCATTTGGAGGATTTCTGTTCTCATTAGGATGTAAAAAGGAGCCAAACAACTATTTGATAATAAATGGCTTCATCTGATCCTCATCCTTCAATAAAAGAGCATTTTTTTGGCATGATCATTCATATTTTCAATATCAATGTCAAAATTTCAGTGTGTGTGTTCTAGCCTTTAAAGATTTGTACGGTATACAACGCATGCTGAATGAGAAGAATCTGGTGAGAATATATGAAGATCTTTGGTCTTACCCTAAGTTTGTGCGGGTGGTGCCACAAAAATCCGTGCAGCCGCACCACCTGCACAGAGAATTGCGGACCCGCGGGCGGGTGCCATTAGTTCTAATGGTACGCCGCCCGCACTGGAAAATGCAGCTGTACTGAGAACCGAGGTTCCATGTGGGCTGCATTCTCCAAAGCAGTGCAGGGACTTCTTTCCCTGTGTGTCACGGGAGTCCATTCATATGAATGGGCTCTCCTGCCCATGCAAAACGCAGCCTGCATGGCTGCATATATGTGAACAGGGGGTTAATTGAAGGATAGATGTGCTCTGGTCTGTGTATATACTTTTTTTTTTTTTTTTTTTTTCTTTTTTGCAGCTTTCTATATTCTGTCACCTACCCAAGTGATGGTGCCGAGTACTTCTCTAGGCCTAGAAGCAGGTATGTTACCCCCACCATACGCTCATGTTGGGGAGCTGGGCGTGGTTGAGCAGGAGTGCTGAGAGCCGGGTTTCGTGGGGGGTTTCGTACGTCCTCACGCACGGGACGTTTTCATAACGCTGGTAACGTTAGATGTGTAAAGTTACGTTAAAAATGTGAGCTTTTTTAGCGTTTAGTGGCGTTTCCCTGCGTTTATTTGTTTTTTTTTTTGTGGTTTTTAGAGTTTTTTTTTTTTTTTTTTTTTTTTTTACAGCTGCTGATTTTGGCTTTTGACATATTTTTTTCTCCGTTGTGACATGGTGAGCTGAGTGGGGTTTCGTATGTCCTCATGCACATGGGACATTTTGATAAACACTGGTAACGTTAGCTGAGTAAAGTCACATTAAAAACGTGAGCTTTTCAGTTTTTTTTTATTTTTTTTTAGCATTTAGTGGCGTTTCCCTGCATTTTGCGTTTTTTTGGGGGTTTTTTTATTTTTTGTTTTTTTGGGTTTTTTTTGTTTTTTTTTACAACTGCTGTTTTGGCTTTTGATTTTTTTTTTTTTCTACAGCTAGTAAACCCCCCAGCATGTTATCCTATCTGTCCATGCACACCCAGACTGGAATCAACAGTTTGGGCCAAAAACGCCGGTTTGCTGCTTTATTAGCTGTACACATCTAATTTTGCATCATTTTTCAACTGTTTTTGCATATAACTTTTAAAGCTGGAACCGTATGCCCTATGTCATAAGTAGTGTTATATAGGTTTTTATATGTATGTAGCATAGGGTCAGTAATTGTTTAGTTTTCACCTCAAAACTTTGTCTGATCAGGTATAGAATTAAAAAAATAGATTAGGAAACTCAAGGGGATGAAGAAATCACCTTTTAAATGTCTACCTAGCAGCAAAGGTGATACAAAGGGAACTAGTATTTGAATATGGTACCCCTGACCGACTCCATCCACACTGTACCGAAACTAGTATAATGCTTGGGAGGATGAGCCACGCCCACAGCACAGATTTTAAGCGAATTGTAGCGGCAGGGATCTTCTGATTCATGCTACTGCCGGCCATAGATTGGTCAAAAAGTTAATTGGTCGCCCATTTTTAGTTTTTTTTGCACATTTTTTTTATGGGTCATGTTGTAAAATTTGCGGCCGATTTTTTGACGATCGGCCAATTTTCCTGGCAATGATGGGCAAATCGGCCTATCGTTTTACCGATTAAAAAATCAGTGCATGAGCCGTGACCTGCAAGGGACAGAAGTTATGGGGTGAACTTTATGATTTAGTCGGCCAATTTTTTTTTTTTTTTTGTTTTACTGTTGGTGGTTTTTCTATTTTTTTTTCAAAAAAAATCGGCCAATTTTTGACCCGTCTATGGCCTGCATATGGCTCTGAGCCTGTAGGTGTGGCAGACGAGACACTTCACTATAATGACAAATTAAGCCTTGTACTATTATGGCTCTGGGAGGTGAGGGGGGGGTGTATGTATGTGTGTGTGTGTGTGTGTGTGTGTGTGTGTATATATATATGTATATGTATGTATATATATGTGTGTATATGTGTGTGTGTGTGTATATATATATATATGTGTGTGTATATATATATATATATGTATGTGTGTGTATATATATATATATATATATGTATGTGTGTGTATATATATATATATATATATATATATATATATATATATATATATATATATATACAGTCATGGCCGAAATTGTTGGCACCTTGATATTTTTCCTGAAAATCAAGTATTTCACACAAAAAAGGTATTGCATTAAACACATGTTTTGCTATACACATGTTTATTCCCTTTGTATGTATTGGAACAAATATAAAACAGAGGCAGAAAAGCAAATATGACATAATGTCACACAAAACCCCAAAAATGGGCTGGACAAAAGTATTGGCACCCTTAACTTAATATTTGGTTGCACACCCCTTTGGAAAACATAACTGAAATCAGTCGCTTCCTATAACCATCAATAAGCTTCTGACACCTCTCACCCGGAATTTTGGACCACTCTTCCTTTGCAAACAGCTCCAGGTCTCTCTTATTGGAAGGACACCTTTTCCCAACAGCAATTTTAAGATCTCTCCACAGGTGTTCAATGGGATTTAGATCTGGGCTCATTGCTGGCCACTTCAGAACTCTCCAGCGCTTCTTTGCCATCCATTTCTGAGTGCTTTTTGACGTATGTTTGGGGTCATTGTCCTGCTGGAAGACCCAGGATCTTGGACGCAAACCCAGCTTTCTGACACTGGGCCCTACAGTGCGACCCAAAATCCTTTGGTAATCCTCAGATTTTCATGATGCCTTGCACACAGTCAAGGCACCCAGTGCCAGAGGCAGCAAAACAACCCCAAAACATCATTGAACCTCCACCATATTTTACCGTAGGTACTGTGTTTTGTTCTTTGTAGGCCTCATTCCGTTTTCGGGTAAAACAGTAGAATGATGTGCTTTACCGAAAAGCTCTATCTTGGTCTCATCTGTCCACAAGACGTTTTCCCAGAAGGCTTTTGGCTTACTCAAGTACATTTTGGCAAACTGTAGTCTTGCTTTTTTATGTCTCTGTGTCAGCAGTGGGGTCCTCCTGGGTCTCCTGCCATAGCGTTTCATTTCATTTAAATGTCGACGGATAGTTCGCGCTGACACTGATGCTCCCTGAGCCTGCAGGACAGCTTGAATGTCTTTGGAACATGTTTGGGGCTGCTTATCCACCATCCGGACTATTCTGCGTTGCAATCTTTCATCAATTTTCCTCATCCGTCCACGACCAGGGAGATTAGCTACAGTGCCATGGGTTTGCAAACTTCTTGATAATGTTGCGCACTGTGGACAAAGGCAAATCTAGTTCTCTGGAGATGGACTTGTAACCTTGAGATTGTTGATATTTTGCCACAATTTTGGTTCTCAGGTCCTCAGACAGTTCTCGTCTCCTCTTTCTGTTGTCCATGCTTAGTGTGGCACAGACAGACACACAATGCAAAGGTTAAGTGAACGTCTCTCCTTTTTATCTGCTTTCAGGTGTGATTTCTATATTGCCCACACCTGTTACTTGCCCCAGGTGAGTTTACAGGAGCATCACATGCTTGTAACATTCTTATTTATCCGCAGTTTGTGAAAGGGTGCCAATACTTTTGTCCAGCCCATTTTTGGAGGTTTGTGTGACATTATGTCGAATTTGCTTTCTTTCCTCCCTTTTTTTGTTTTGTCCCAATACACACAAAGGGAATAAACATGTGTATAGCAAAACATGTGTTAATGCAATACGTTTCGTGAGAAATACATGATTTCCTGGAGAAATATCAAGGGTGCCAACAATTTCGGCCATGACTGTATATATATATATATATATATATATATATTTACAGACCCCCCCCCCTCACCTCTCAGAGCCGTCATAGTACAAGTATGTGTATATGTGTATATATATGTATATGTGTGTGTGTGTATGTATGTATGTATGTATGTATGTGTGTATATATATATGTATGTATGTGTGTGTGTGTGTGTGTGTGTGTGTGTGTGTGTGTGTATGTATGTATGTATGTGTGTATATATATATATATATGTGTGTGTGTGTGTATGTATGTATGTATGTATGTATGTATGTGTATGTATATATATATATATATATATATATATACACACACAGACACTCTCTGCCAGGACACACCTACACCACACACACACCCACCCGCCATGTGCTCCCCACATCCATTGGCAGCTTAATCGGAGAACAGAGGGCGCCATCTAAGTGCAGTAGGTAATCATTAAGGTCTTTATTAATAAAAAGATAATTGGCCGCTCACCTGTAGAAGTGGGTGCTGCAGCGTCAAGGAAAGAAAGATCAGTGAACGTACATTCGCTGATCTCCCCTTCCTGTTACCGAACCGGACGCAAAGGGTAAAATGTATCCAAAAAACTACATCACATGGCGGACCTTGTGCTGTGTGTGATGAAAACAAAAATGTTAAATATTAAAGTTGCACCCAAGCACATAAAATCACCCCCCCCCCCCCCCCAAAAAAACCCAAACTTTTTGAGTGAGGACTGAGGGTAGTTTTTAAAAATTCAATTTAACAAGAGACAGACCAGTTTTTTGAGTAATAGGGAACTTTTTGTCCTGTGTGTGATGAAAATAAAAATGTGGGGGGTGATTTTATGTTCTTGGGTGCAACTTTAATATTAAAGTTGCACCCAAGCACATAAAATCACCCCCCCCACCCCAAAAAAAGAAAAAAAAATGTTTGAGCGAGGACTGTTGGTAGTTTTTAAAAATTCCATTTAACAAGAGACAGACCAAATTTTTGGAGTAAATAATTTATATTTGAATACCTTGTAACATTCATTTTACAGCACAATAATGTCACATGAAATATAACTTCTCTTTCCTCCCATCCTTTTCCTGGGGAGGGGCTGCGCGATAGGCGGGGTCAGCGGAAAAGAGGAGGGGTTACCATGTACGATGGGTGACCGATTGCCTCCCACTCAGAACGGTGCCAGCGCTGGGCACCTCGTAGTAGACGGATGGGGACTGCAGCTCAGGTAGGAAAAGCACACAGGCCGTGCCGCTTCTGAAATCATCTTCCCACATCTCTCACTATATACAGGAAATTTTACTGATTTTTTTTTTTTTTTTTTTTTGTTCTTTAGTCAGATATAAAATCAACAGTGAAAATCCAGAGCAGGCTCCACGCGAGACGGGCCCGGCTTCCTGTGTCTTTACCTGCAGAGGGTGTAGGATGCGGCCTGGAAAATGTCTAATAGTACAGCTCCTTGTCCCACCAGCCTGGGGGAGGAAAAAGAGAACGTCAGAATGATATTTTTAGTGTCTGGGGGATCTGAAATATTCACAAGTGTAACCTGACTGTGGACTGGCAGGTTTGTGCTTTTCTGGGCTCCGGAGAAAATTGCTGTCGTGTTACTGTCTAGTTTGGCAGTAGTAGAATTCAGAGGAATAGGTAAACATTTAGGATGCTTGTAAAACGCACTGTGTTGCTACATTTGCCTGTTAGGTTTTTAGACCTACTAAGTGGGGGATCAGCAGAGCTGGGGGTTACTACTGAGTGGGGTATCAGCAGAGATGTGGGTTACTGAGCAGGGGATCAGCAGGGCTGGGGGTTACTACTGAGCGGGAGATTAGCAGAGCTGATGGTTACTACTGAGCGGGGGATCAGCAGGGCTGGGGGTTACTACTGAGCGGGGGGATCAGCAGAGCTGATGGTTACTACTGAGCGGGGGATCAGTAGAGCTGGGGGTTACTGAGCGGGGGATCAGCAGAGCCGGGGTTTACGACTGAGCGGGGGATCAGCAGAGATGTGGGTTACTGAGCGGGGGATCAGCAGGTCTGGGGGTTACTACTGAGAGGGAGATCAGCAGGTCTGGGGGTTACTACTGAGCGGGAGATCAGCTGAGCTGATGGTTACTACTGAGCGGGGGATCAGCAGAGCTGGGGGCTATTGCTGAGCGGGGGATCAGCAGAGCTGGGGGCTATTGCTGAGCGGGGGATCAGCAGAGCTGGGGGCTATTGCTGAGCGGGGGATCAGCAGAGCTTGGGGGTTACTATATTGAGCGGGGAGCAGCAGAGCTGGGGGCTATTATTGAGCGGGGGAGCAGCAGAGCTGGGGGCTATTATTGAGCGGGGGATCAGCAGAGCTGGGGGCTATTATTGAGCGGGGGATCAGCAGAGCTGGGGGGTTACTACTGAGCAGGAGATCAGCAGAGCTGCGGGTTACTACTGAGCGGGGGATTAGCAGAGCTGGGGGTAACTGCTAAACAGGGCTGGGGGTTACTACTGAGTGGGGGATCAACAGAGATGAGAGTTACTACTGAGTGGGGGGATCAGCAGAGCTGGGGGTTACTACTGAGCGGGGGATCTGCTGAACAGGGTACTAATGAGCTGGGGATCTGCTGAATGGGGGTATTACTAGGCCCCTTTAAAACAAATAGAAAATCAACACACACAGCATCTGCCAAGCTTCATTGAAGCTTCAAAAAAGCATTACTGAAGCATTAAAAACACATCAAGAAAGCATGTTGAAGCGGTAGGCGCTTTAACGTGTGTTGAAGTCGAAGCATGTGTGAATGAGTCCTAGGGTTGAAAAAAAAAAACCCAAAAAACCTTCAGGCTTTAGAATGACTTTCAGTCTGTAATGCTGTACTCACTTCCGGGATGTCTGCGGACTCCAAGTTTACGGATTTCATCATAGACAAAAATCAAGACTCCAAATGGAAGAGGAACAAACCACCACTGCCACCTAAAAGATACATAGACGTCAGGTTATAGAATTCGATTGAATCTGCTTCTATATGGCAGGAAGTCAATGAAGTAAAGGGTCACTTAGGGACTGTGTGAATCCGAAAAACACACACCAAAAAAAATTTATGGAAGACTCTGAACACCCATCAGATCTCAATGGGGACAAATCTCCTGCTGGATCTCTATACTGACATGGACGGGGGATGGGTGAGGAACGTAAGGACGCCCCATCGTTTGATGGAAATGAAAATGATCGACCTACAGAGGACTGAATTCAAAGACATCCTGAAAATCAAAGTGAAGAAATGATGCAGCAGGCGAGTCCGTTTTGGTGAAATGTCATTGCAGCAACTCAGAATGGTCCTTAGTAGTCTGTGTGGCCCCCACGTGTTTGTATGCATGCCTGACAACGTCGGGGGAGGGTCCTAATGAGACCACGGATGGTGCCCTGGGGGATTTCCTCCCAGATCTGGTCCAGGACATCACTGAGTTTCTGGACAGTCTGAGGTGCAACCTGGCAGCGTCGGATGGACCAAAACATGACATCCCAGAGGGGTTCTATTAGATTTAGGTCAGGAGAGCGTGGGGGCCATTCAATGGTATCAATTCCTTCATCCTCCAGGAGATGCCTGCATACTCTCCCCACATGAGGCCGGGCATTGTCTGCACCAGGAGGAACCCAGGACCCACTACATCAGGAGGAACCCAGGACCCACTGCACCAGCGTGGGGTCTGACAATGGGTCCAAGGATTTCATCCCCATACCTAATGGCAGTCAGGGTGCCATTGTCTAGCCTGTAGAGGTCTGTGTGTCCCTCCATGGAGATGCCTCCCCAGACCATCACTGACCCATCACCACAACGGTCATGCTGAACCATGTTACAGGCAGCAGAACGTTCTCCACGGCTTCTCCAGACCCTTTCATGTCTGTCACATGTGCTCAGGGGGAACCTGCTCTCATCTGTGAAGAGCACAGGGTGCCAGTGGTGGACCTGCCAATTCTGGAGTTCAATGGCAAATGCCAATCCAGCTCTATGGTGCCGGGCAGCGAGCACAGGGCCCCCTAGAGGATGTCGGGCCCTCAGGCCACCCTCATGAAGTCTGTTTCTGATTGTTTGGTCAGAGACATTCACACCAGTGGCCTGCTGGCGGTCATTTTGTAGGGCTCTGGCAGGGCTCATCCTGTTCCTCCTTGTACAAAGGAGCAGATACCGGTCCTGCTGATGGGTTAAGGACCTTCTACGGCCCTGTCCAGCTCTCCTAGAGGAACTGCCTGTCTCCTGGAATCTCCTCCATGCTCTTGTCTCCTGGAATCTCCTCCATGCTCTCGTCTCCTGGAATCTCCTCCATGCTCTCGTCTCCTGGAATCTCCTCCACGCTCTCGTCTCCTGGAATCTCCTCCACGCTCTCGTCTCCTGGAATCTCCTCCACGCTCTCGTCTCCTGGAATCTCTCGTCTCCTGGAATCTCCTCCACGCTCTCGTCTCCTGGAATCTCCTCCACGCTCTCGTCTCCTGGAATCTCCTCCACGCTCTCGTCTCCTGGAATCTCCTCCATGCTCTTGAGACTGTGCTGGGAGACACAGCAAACCTTCTGCCAATGACACGTATTGATGTGCCATCCTGGAGGAGTTGGACTGCCTGTGCAACCTCTGTAGGGTCCAAGTATGGCCTCATGCTACCAGTAGTGACACTGACCCTAGCCAAATGCAAAACTAGTAAAAAACAGTCAGAAAAGATGAGTAGGGGAAAAATGTCAGCGACCTCCACCTGTAAAACCATTCCTGTTTTGGGGGTCGTGTCACTGTTGCCCAGCTAGTGCACCTGTTGTTAATTTCATTAACACCAAAGCAGCTGAAACTGATGAACAACCCCCTCTGTGACTTACCTGACCAGATCAATATTCCAGGAGTTTCATTGACTTGATGCGACTCGGATTACAAAGTCTTCCTTTAATTTTTTGAGCTGTGTGTGTATATATATTAATACATTTTGCTTTTTGCACACAGTCCCTAAGCAACCCTTTACTTCAATGAATTCCTGTCTTTTTTTTTTTTTTTTTTTTTGGATTAATCTTTCTTAGGTTGACCAGCAGCCCCGAAATTGTGTTGAATGAATTACCGGTTGTAGAAAATCTGCCACACTGGCTCTGTGTCTATAGTTTTGCCCCAAAAGCAAAGCATTCCCTTACCGGATGGGCATAAAGTTGAAAATGTTGGGCATTCCAGGGCAGTAGCAGAGGAAGTTACCCAGAATCAGCTGGAAGACGATGGCGATCACCAGAACTTTGTTCCTAGGAGAGAATATGAGAAATAATTAGCTGTAACTCCACAGCAACATAAAACAATCCCGTCCTGGAGCAGACCGACATAAGGGGGGGTTGGATTTGTTCGTATCTGACACCAAAAGTAACCCCCAAGATGATAAAAGCTGAGCGCAGAGCTCTGTTGTCCAAAAATAATGAGGGCCATGACTTGCCCACGTAGACTGCTATTGTTTTACCTCTATTATTATACACTATATTGTCAAAAGTATTGGTTGGCCGGCCTTTCCACGCACATGAACTGTAATGGCCTCCCAGTCTTAGTCCGTAGGGTTCAATATTGAGTTGGCCCCGCCCTTTCCACACAAGTTCAGACCAGACTTTAGCTGTTCCGGGCCTCAACCGAGTGCTGGACACTTAGCCGTTCACCACAAAAATAGAAGTGCTACTAGATACACTATATTGCCCCAAGTATTGGGCTGCCTGCCTTTCCACACACTTGACCTTTAATGACCTCCCAGTCTTAGTCCGTAGGGTTCAATATTGAGTCTGCCCCCCGCCCTTTCCACACACATGACCATTAATGGCCTCCCAGTCTTAGTCCGTAGGGTTCAATATTGAGTCTGCCCCGCCCTTTCCACACACATGACCTTTAATGGCCTCCCAGTCTTAGTCCGTAGGGTTCAATATTGAGTTGGCCCCGCCCTTTCCACACACATGACCTTTAATGGCCTCCCAGTCTTAGTCCGTAGGGTTCAATATTGAGTCTGCCCCGCCCTTTCCACACACATGACCATTAATGGCCTCCCAGTCTTAGTCCGTAGGGTTCAATATTGAGTCTGGCCCCGCCCTTTCCACACACATGACCTTTAATGGCCTCCCAGTCTTAGTCCGTAGGGTTCAATATTGAGTTGGCCCCGCCCTTTCCACACACATGATCTTTAATGGCCCCCCAGTCTTAGTCCATAGGGTTCAATATTGAGTTGGCCCCGCCCTTTCCACACACATGACCTTTAATGGCCCCCCCAGTCTTCGTCCGTAGGGTTCAATATTGAGTTGGCCCCGCCCTTTCCCTGCACATGACCTTTAATGGCCCCCCAGTCTTAGTCCATAGGGTTCAATATTGAGTTGGCTCCGCCCTTTGCAGCTATAACAGCTTCAACTCTTCTGGGAAGGCCGTCCACAAGGTTTAGGAGGGTGTCTATGGGAAGGTTGGACCATTCTTCCAGAAGCACATTTGTCAGGTCAGGCACTGATGTCGGGGGAGGAGGCCTGGCTCACAGTCTCCGCTCTAATTCATCCCAAAGGTGTTCTATGGGGTTGAGGTCAGGACTCTGTGCAGGACAGTCAAGTTCCTCCACCCCAAACTGGCTCCTCCATGTCTTTATGGACCTTGCTTTGTGCACTGGGGGGGCAGTCATGTTGGAACAGGAAGGGGCCATCCCCAAACTCTTCCCACAAAGTTGGGAGCATGAAATTGTACAAAATGGCACCTTCACTGGAACTAGGGGGCCAAGCCCAACCCCTGAAAAACAACCTCACACCATAATCCCCCCCCTCTACCAAATTTTCACTTAGCACAATGGAGTCAGGCAAGTACCGTTCTCTTGGCAACTGCCAAACCCAGAAATGTCCATCTGATTGCCAGACAGAGAAGGGTGATTGGTTACTCCAGAGAAACACGTCTCCACTGAGTCCAGTGGCGACATGCTTTACACCACGGCATCTGACGCTTTGCATTGCACTTGGTGATGGAAGGCTTGGATGCAGCTGCTCGGCCATGGAAACCCATTCCATGAAGCTCTCTACGCACATGGAGTGGAATCCACCAGGAGTCCACTTTCTCAGCGGGGGATCTGTCCACTGACGCATTTTAGATGCATAAATAACGAATGGATGCTTTTTACATTTTTGTATATTACCTCTTTCATTTTTCCCTCAATTCCCCTTGCGGGCTGGGGAGGGGCGATCCCATTTGAAATTTTAAAGCCCAACGCCAGCCATTTTCTGTTTCAGCTTTTAATATATTTGAAAAAAAAAATGTTTTTAAATTTCCTGTGACCTTGTTGGGGTGGTCTCATCACGCAGCCATCAGCTTGTGGTTGACTCTTTGGACGTACGGAAGAGCTGAACTGGTTAATGATGAAGGTGAAAAATGTTTTGCCTTTACAACCACTTTAAGTAAAAGCGCTTCGGCTGCCATTGGGGCTAATACAGAGGACAGCGATTTGTACCTGAAAAATCCTTGCTGGATGACGGACAGAGACGTCTCGTTTTTCCTGATGAGCACATCAGCGATCTGACACACTTCAATACTGATGAAGAAGACGGTGTAGCAGTTGTACTGTTGGTAGAGTCGCTGGCCAAAAGTCTGACAGGCAAAAGGGATATGAGAGGTTATATCTGCCAAAGGATTTTTATTTCTGTCCGTCCAGTCCTGAGATTTACACAGCTCTGCCACAAAGCACAGTACTGCCTGGCAAAGCAGGAGACTTGTTTTGTTCTCTGCTGCAGTTTCCCCCTCCCCCAGCCAACCCTAAATACTTACCTGAGCCCGATCCTGATCCAGTGATGTGCACAAGAGCAGTCTCTCTCTCCCCCTCCCTCTCTCTCTCTCTCTCTCTCTCTCACCCCCCTCTCTCATTTTTCTCTCTCTCTCTCTTACCCCCTCTCCCTCCTCTCTCATTCGCTCTCTCTCATTTGCTCTCTCACCCCTCTCTCTCTCATTACCCCCCTCTCTCTCTACCCCTCCCCCTCTCCCTCCCCTCTCTCACCCCTCTCTCTCTCACCCCCTCTCTCTCTCTCCCCCTCCCCCCTCTCTCATTCCCGCTCTCTCTCTCCCCCCCTCTCTTTCTCTCTCCCCCCTCTCTCTCTCTCCCTCTCTCCCTCTCTCTCGCTCTCTCTCCCCCTCTCTCCCCTCCTCTCTCTCTCCCTCTGTCCCTCCCTCTCTCATCCCCCGTCTCTCTCCATCTCTCGTTGTCTCTCTCTCTCTCCATCTCTCATTGTCTCTCTCTCTCTCTCATGCTCCCTCTCATTCCCCCTCTTTCTCTCATTCTCCCTCTCCCTCTCCCTCCCCTCTCTCCACTTTCTAGCTTCTCTCCCCTCTCTCCTTCTCTCTCTCTCCAACCAATCATGAGAGAGCAGGGCTGAGCTGCTCCCTGTGTGCCAATGGACACACACAGCCAGCTCAGGAACAAGCACGCACGAGTGCCCCCATAGCAAGCGGCTATTCCGATTATCACCGTCCTTGTTAGCACATGAACTGATTAGCTTCTTGTGCTGCTCCCCTCCCCCTGCTTCAGTCTTAGCTGTGCTGTACGTCAGATTAAGTTCATTTTTAATGCTTGCATTCAGAAATAACACATTTATAGATGCAATAATGAGTATCCTTTATATGTGCCTTACCCATTGCTGGCCGTAGCTGTCCTCTAAGTCCTGTAGGTGCTCATCCTCCCATTGGGCGCGCAGACCCAGGCAGTACGCAGGGAACCAACCTTCCTGAGCCATGACGGTGAAATAGTCCACAAACCCCGCGAAGGACTGAATGACGCCTGACGAGAGAGGAAACCGGTACAGAGAGGATATGATTCTGTGGTTGAGTTTCCCTGTCCTACGGGGGGGGGGGGGGGGGGGGGGGGGGGGATGAATGATTGGATCCCCTGCAGATCTTGTAAGTTGGCCCATTTACAAAGAAATGAAGGGTGTCGAATTTTTATCACGGGTGTATCTTTAAAAAAAAAAAAAAAAAGAATCCAGAAAAAAACACGAAACAGATGTCATAGATTGAGTTGCAGTTTAGTGGGCCAACTTACAGAATCTGCAGGGATCAAATAATTATTTCCCCCCCCCCCCCCCTGTATATGTATTCATTTTATTTCAGGTACTTATATAGCGCCGTCAATTTCTGCAGCACTTTACATATATATTGTACATTCACATCAGTCCCCGCCCCCGAGGAGCGTACAATCTAAGGTACCTAACTCACATTCATACATACACATAATAGGGACAAATTAGACAGGAGCCAATTCACCTACCAGCATGTCTTTGGAGTGTGGGAGGAAACCGGAATACCCGGAGGAAACCCACGCAGGCACAGGGAGAACATGCAATCTCCAGGCAGGTGGTGCCGTGGTTGGGATTTGAACGAACGACCCAGTACTGCCAGGCGGAAGTGCTAACCACTAAGCCACTGTGCTGCCCACTATTGAGTTAAAGCCCTGACAGCCTCTTTGGGATTCCACTGGGAGGATCTCTGTACCCCGCTGTGCCCATTATGAGGGGTCCCCACCATCCCTGTGCTGAGTTCCCGGGTCTGTACACCGGCTGTGCCCATTATGAGGGGTCCCCACCATCCCTGTGCTGAGTTCCCGGGTCTGTACACCGGCTGTGCCCATTATGAGGGGTTCCCACCATCCCTGTGCTGAGTTCCCGGGTCTGTACACCCGCTGTGCCCATTATGAGGGGTTCCCACATCCCTGTGCTGAGTTCCCGGGTCTGTACACCCGCTGTGCCCATTATGAGGGGTTCCCACTATCCCTTTGCTGAGTTCCCGGGTCTGTACACCCGCTGAGCCCATTATGAGGGGTTCCCACTATCCCTGTGCTGAGTTCCCGGGTCTGTACACCCTGCTGTGCCCATTATGAGGGGTTCCCACCATCCCTGTGCTGAGTTCCCGGGTCTGTACACCCGCTGTGCCCATTATGAGGGGTTCCCACCATCCCTGTGCTGAGTTCCCGGGTCTGTACACCCGCTGTGCCCATTATGAGGGGTTCCCACCATCCCTGTGCTGAGTTCCCGGGTCTGTACACCCGCTGTGCCCATTATGAGGGGTTCCCACCATCCCTGTGCTGAGTTCCCGGGTCTGTACACCCGCTGTGCCCATTATGAGGGGTTTCCACCATCCCTGTGCTGAGTTCCCGGGTCTGTACACCCGCTGTGTCCATTATGAAGGGTTCCCACCATCCCTGTGCTAAGTTCCCGGGTCTGTACACCCGCTGTGCCCATTATGAGGGGTTCCCACCATCCCTGTGCTGAGTTCCCGGGTCTGTACACCCGCTGTGCCCATTATGAGGGGTTTCCATCATCCCTGTGCTGAGTTCCCGGGTCTGTACACCCGCTGTGTCCATTATGAAGGGTTCCCACCATCCCTGTGCTAAGTTCCTGGGTCTGTACACCCGCTGAGCCCATTATGAGGGGTTCCCACCATCCCTGTGCGGAGTTACAAGCTACAATTATTTATTAACGGCCATCCTGCCCAGGTAACACTCTGCTCTATGGGGACACAGCATTTAAAATCTCACATAGGTTCTAACCCAAGTTTTCATTCCTCCGCCATCCAGTTACTATGACTAGATCGGTGGCGCGGTGGTGGCATCTTATGTCCATTCATAGAAAGTCGCACTCTTGTAGACACCACAAACCTTGGACCCTCCCGCTATCCCCCCCCCCTCCCCCCCCCACTCACCAATCTGGAAGTAGGAGTAGGCGGCCAGAGCCTCATTCACCAGACGGTCCCGGCGCGGGTTCCTCGGTTTCAGGTGCATGATGTCGCTCTCAGCTCTCTCATAGGCCAGAGACACCGAGGGGAACTAGAGAGAAGAGAAGATCTTTTCATCCCATGTGATGGCGGGTTACACCGTCGTGTTTTGTTTCAAAGGATTCAATGGAGACGCTGCAGAAATGCATGTTGTGCATTTTTGATGCGTTTTTTTTGCATTTTAACCACTTCCAGTCCGGACACTTTCCCCCCCTTCCAGTCCAGACACTTCCCCCCCCTTCCAGTCCGGACACTTTCCCCCCTTCCAGTCCGGACACTTTCACCCCCTTTCCGGACACTTTCCACCCCCTTCCAGTCCGGACACTTTCCCCCCCTTCCAGTCCGACACTTCCCCCCCTTCCAGTCCGGACACTTTCCCCCCCTTCCAGTCCGGACGCTTTCACCCCCTTCCAGTCCGGACACTTTCACCCCCTCCGGACACTTTCACCCCCTTCCAGTCCAGACACTTCCCCCCCCTTCCAGTTGCTTTCCCCCCCCTTCCAGTCCGGACACTTTCCCCCCCCTTCCAGTCCGGACACTTTTCCCCCCTTTCCAGTCCCCCCCTTCCAGTCCGGACACTTTTCCCCCCCCTTCCCCGGACACTTCACCCCCCTTCCAGTCCGGACCTTCCAGTCCGGACACTTTCCCCCCCCCTTCCCCTTTCCTTCCAGTCCGGACACTTTCCTTTCACCCCCTTCCAGTCCGGATGCTTTCCCCCCCCTTCCAGTCCAGACACTTCCCCCCCCTTCCAGTCCCCTTTCCCCCCCTTCCAGTCCGGACGCTTTCCCCCCCTTCCAGTCCGGACGCTTTCCCCCCCTTCCAGTCCGGACGCTTTCCCCCCCCTTCCAGTCCGGACACTTTCCCCCCCTTCCAGTCCGGACGCTTTCCCCCCTTCCAGTCCGGACGCTTTCCCCCCTTCCAGTCCGGACGCTTTTCACCCCCTTCCAGTCCGGACACTTTCACCCCCTTCCAGTCCGGACGCTTTCCCCCCCCTTCCAGTCCGGACGCTTTCACCCCCTTCCAGTCCGGACGCTTTCCCCCCTTCCAGTCCGGACGCTTTCCCCCCTTCCAGTCCGGACGCTTTTTTCCAGTCCGGACACTTTCCCCCCCTTCCAGTCCGGACGCTTTCCCCCCTTCCAGTCCGGACGCTTTCCCCCCTTCCAGTCCGGACGCTTTCACCCCTTCCAGTCCGGACGCTTTCACCCCTTCCAGTCCCCCTTCCAGTCCGGACGCTTTCACCCCCTTCCAGTCCGGACGCTTTCACCCCCTTCCAGTCCGGACGCTTTCACCCCCTTCCAGTCCGGACAACGCTTTCACCCCCTTCCAGTCCGGACGCTTTCAGTCCGGACGCCCCCCCTTCCAGTCCGGACGCTTTCCCCCCCTTCCAGTCCGGACGCTTTCCAGTCCGGACGCTTTCACCCCCTTCCAGTCCGGACGCTTTCACCCCCCTTCCAGTCCCGCTTTCACCCCCTTCCAGTCCGGACGCTTTCACCCCCTTCCAGTCCGGACGCTTTCCCCCCTTCCAGTCCGGACGCTTCCCCCCCCTTCCAGTCCGGACGCTTCCCCCCCCTTCCAGTCCGGACACTTTCCCCCCCTTCCAGTCCGGACACTTTCCCCCCCCCAGTTCCTGTCCTGTCCAGGCCAATTTTCAGCTTTCAGCGCTATCACACTTTGAATGACAATTGCGCGGTCATGCAACACTGTACCCATATGAATTTTTTAGCACTTTTTTGAGACAGATAAAGCTTTATTTTGGTGGTATTTATTCACCGCTGGGATTTTTATTTTTTTTGCTATGTAAATGAAAATGTCCAAAAATTTTAAAAAAGTGTTTTTTTCTTATAAAATTTTGCAAATAAATAATATTTCTTCATAAATCTTGGCAAAAATATATTCCGTTATCTTTTTAGTGAAAAAAAAATTAGATTATAACCAAAAATTATCATTTTTAAACTTTTTAAACCATGGTGACACTGGACTACTTGTGGGGGGGGTGATGAAGATTTTTTTTTTTTTTTTTACACTGATTGCTTTTACACCCATAAAGGATGTAAAAGCAATCATTTCTCCTTCTCTCTGCATTCTTGCAGCCATTGAGAACTACAGTGTGAGCTGTGATTGGTCACAGCTTTTCACATGGTACAAGGCTGTTGTGAATAGCCCTGTACCATGTGATCTCTGTGATCATTCACAGATTTCACACGTAGTCAGCAATGATGTCAGAAGTGACATCTTGCTTACTACTCTGCATGTGATCACTGATTGGTCCCTGAAATGCGTTGGCTGTAGCACCAGTTACACATTTGTAATAAATTCTCTCTTTGGACGACGCTAACATCTTGGTGCCGCACTTCGATTTCCAGATTCTATTATCGCTTCTACAGTCCAAGGTTGACTTTCAGTCGCTTTGTACATGAGATCAGCCCCCGGTATCCCCTAAATGCCCCAAAGGGACACCATCAGAACGTTTCTGCCCAATATACCAAAAGTATATCTGAGAAGGTTCCAGCAATCTACCCCTTCAGGATTGTGACATGCGATGTTCAGATTGCTAGAATCGCATATATGGAGCATTGTACAGACAACCTGAATACATTCCATGTATGTAGTCCTCCCCGTGCCGATGAAGCCCTTCTGCTGCATCCCTGGTAGTCTGGGTCCTACAGATTACAGTCCTATGGGACAACTCATGGGGCCCCCAGGCAATAGGGGATCATGGGGCCCCTATGTCCTTGCCCACACTCAAAAAAAGCCTATAAAAGGTACCAGAGGCATTTCATGGGGCCCCCTACTGACCCCGGGCCTTTGGGCAGTGCCCGAGTTCTCGATTGGTCAGTCCACCCCTGGTCCTGCCATATGCCAGGGCATTATGGGGGATGTAGAGAATACTCACAATATCGGTACACAGCTCAATGAAGAGGATGGTGATGCAGCCCAGGGGTAGAGGGACACTGGCCGTGATATAGATGAGATAGGGGGCCAGTTCTGGAATGTTCTTGGTCAGAGTGTAGGCGATGGACTTCTTCAAATTGTCAAAGATCAGACGTCCTGGAGGAGCCAGAAAAAAAATGTTTCCTGTGTTTTACTTTAATGCTACAAAAAGACTTGGGGGCCACAAAACAATGGCACACAGATACAGGTGAGTCCCGGAGTAATGACACATTGGTGCTTGTGGGGCCCAGGGGACAGTAGACTTACATATTGGGGCCTCAGCGCAATGGAAGTCTGACACTTGGGGGGTCCCCAGAGCAAAGACACATTGGGGCTTTGTGGGGGGACCCAGGGTGACAGTCTTGCAAAATTGACACAGAAAGAAGATTGGAAGATTGACAGAATACGATTGGTCTCAGAATAATGGAGGACTGATACATGGAGGGCTCAGAGAGTAATAGAAGACTGAAATATGGAGATCTTAGAGGAATGGAGGACTGACTTGTTGAGGTCTCAGTGATGGAGGACTAACACATGGAGGTTTCAGAGTAATGGGGGACTGACGTGTGGGGGTCTCAGGGTATTGGTGGATTGACACATGGAGGTCTCGGAGTAATGGGGGACTGACTTGTTGGGTCTCAGGGTATGGTGGACTAACACATGGAGGTCTCGGAGTAATGGGGTGGACTGACGTGTGGGGGGTCTCAGGGTATTGGTGGATTGACACATGGAGGTCTCGGAGTAATGGGGGACTGACGTGTGGGGGTCTCAGGGTATTGGTGGATTGACACATGGAGGTCTCGGAGTAATGGGGACTGATGTGTGGGGGACTCAGGGACTGGTGGATTGACACATGGAGGTCTCGGAGTAATGGGGACTGACGTGGGGGTCTCAGGGTATTGGTGGATTGACACATGGAGGTCTCGGAGTAATGGGGGACTGACGTGTGGGGGTCTCAGGGTATTGGTGGATTGACACATGGAGGTCTCGGAGTAATGGTGGACTGACGTGTGGGGGTCTCAGGGTATTGGTGGATTGACACATGGAGGTCTCGGAGTAATGGGGGACTGATGTGTGTGGGGGGTACTGGTGGACTGACACAGGTCTCAGAGTAATGGGGGACTGACGTGTGGGGGTCTCAGGGCTGGTGGATTGACACATGGAGGTCTCGGAGTAATGGGGGGACTGATGTGTGGGGGTCTCAGGGTACTGGTGGACTGACACATGGAGGTCTCAGAGTAATGGGGGACTGACGTGTGGGGGTCTCAGGGTACTGGTGGATTGACACATGGAGGTCTCAGAGTAATGGGGGACTGACGTGTGGGGGTCTCAGGGTACGGTGGATTGACACATGGAGGTCTCAGAGTAATGGGGGACTGATGTGTGGGGGTCTCAGGGTACTGGTGGATTGACACATGGAGGTCTCAGAGTAATGGGGGACTGACGTGTGGGGGTCTCAGGGTACTGGTGGATTGACACATGGAGGTCTCAGAGTAATGGGGGACTGATGTGTGGGGGTCTCAGAGTAATGGGGCCCAGAAGACTAAAAGACACCTGAGAGACCCATAAAACTGATACAATGACTATTTCATGAAGCAAAGGTCCTCCTACATCACTGCTCTGGGGACATGTGTAGATACATTGTATCCTCATCTCACCTTGTTCCACTCCTGTGACGATGGAGGCGAAGTTATCGTCCAATAAGATCATGTCAGCTGCATTCTTTGCAGCATCCGATCCAGCAATTCCCATAGCAACGCCGATGTCCGCCTTTTTCAAGGCTGGGGAATCATTGACACCGTCTCCTGTCACGGCCACAATGGCCCCCTGGAACAGAAGACAATCTGAATTTTGTAGATCAGGGATGGACAATCTGTGGGGGTCTCATCCTTCCCCCCAACCAGTAACAATGTATCAACTACCAATACAAAACATAGGAGACAAATGTACAAACGAGGGGCTGTGATGACTTACCAGCTTCTGACAACTTTCCACAATGATGAGTTTCTGCTGGGGAGAGGTCCGAGCGAAGACCATCTCAGGGTGCAACTTCAGAGACTCCACCAGCTCCTCACCGCTCATGTCCTTCAGCTGTCCACCATTGATGACGCAGGCCCGAGCGTCACTGCGGAGACAAGGATCAGGGTGGTATGTCTTCCATCAGTGACCTAGTTCTTAAAGGATCAGTCCACCCAAAGCTGATATTATAGTTCTAGGCTGAGCCTAGGAGATCGAGAGTCAGCCCCTGGTGAGAGGTGGTGGATGGTGGGAACCCCTTATAATAGTTACAGCGGGTGTACAGACCTGGGAACTCAGCACAGGAATGAGGGGAACCTCTCATAATAGTTACATAAACCAGTGTGACAGAGCCAGGAACTCCGCACAGGGATGGTGGGAACCCCTCATAAAGGACACAGCGGGTGTACAGACCCAGGGGAACTCAGCACAGGAATGAGGGGAACCTCTCATAATAGTTACAACCAGTGTACAGAGCCAGGAACTTAGCACAGGGATGGTGGGGACCCCTCATAATGGTCACAGCAGGTGTACAGACCCGGGAACTCAGCACAGGTATGGTGGGAACCCCTCATAATGGGCACAGCAGGTGTACAGACCTGGGAACTCAACACCGGGATGGTGGGAACTCCTCATAATGGGCACCATGCGAAGATCACATCTGTAGAGTCCCCAAAAGTTAGAAGATCTCACCTGCCAATGTTAACTTGGTTAATTTTTGGGTGGAGTGACCCTTTAACTGTTCCATTCCACTAAGCAATGAAGAAAGGATGGAATAATGGAACCTCCTATATTTCTGCCATGATCGGTTCACCCAATTAATGAAAGTGTGTCGCCAAGAATACGATAGGCTCGTTGCTCTCACCGTTTGTTCACCTGCTCCACGGGAATGCGCAAGCGAGCAGCAATGTCCTCCACCGTCTCGCTGCCCTCGGAAATGATGCCCACACTGGCGGCGATGGCCTTGGCTGTGATTGGATGATCTCCAGTGACCATGATGACCTGAGTTGAAAAATGCATCAAGTTTATACCTCGAGATGACAAAATAAAATAGAACTTCGTGTTGTCAAATTCACGGAGGAATTCATGGCAGAAGTCACTTTCCATTGCAGCCAATCAGGGACAAGCATTTATGTTCTAGCACAGGTTAGATGATGAAAACTCGCTTCTAACTGGCTGCCATAGAAAGGACTGCTATGTTCCCACATGGAAGAAAAATATATTTGTAAAGCTAAAATTGTGGCCGTATTCAATATATTTCAATATATACATACATATATATATATAAATATATATATATATATATATATATATATATATATATATATATATATATATATATATATATAAATATGTGTGTGTGTATATATATATATATATATATATAAAAATATGTATATATATATATATATAAATATGTGTGTGTGTGTATATATATATATAAATATGTATATAGATATAACTATGTGTGTATTTATTTTATATTATTATATATATATATATATATATATATATATATATGTATATATATATATATACTGTATATTGAAATGCGTTTTTATTACAAAAATATATGAAAAATATTTTTAAAAATACAATTCAAATATACTGCATGTCTTTTTAAAATATATATATAAAAATATATATATACTGCATGTTGAAATGCATTTTTTTTATATATTACAAAATATATGAAAAATATTTTTAAAAATATATTTTATTAAACAAATATTTTTTTTAGATATATTCTTCAGATTATTTTTAACATATAAAAGGGTAATTTTAACATGTATTTTTACATATATTTGTAAATGCTTTCCAAAAATGTAGATCAGTATTTTTAAAGACATACAGTATATTTGAAAATGTATTTTTAAAAATATTTTCAATATATTTTGTAATAAAAATGCATTTCAACTACAGTGTATATATATAAAATATATCTCCTAGATTCCTAGATTGTAAGCTCCCATGATCAGGCCCCTCCTATCCCTTTTGTATTGAACTGTATTGTTGCTGTATTGTCTCCCGTTATATTGTAAAGCGCTGAGCAAACTGTTGGCGCCATAAATCCTGTATAATAATAATATATAAATCCTGTATAATAATAATAATAATATATAAATCCTGTATAATAATAATAATAATATATTTCAAAATATATTTAAAATTTTTTTATATATATATATATATATATATATATATATATATATATATATATATATGTTGAAATGCATTTTTTATATATTACAGAATATATGAAAAATATTTTTAAAAATATATATTTTTTAAATATATTCTTCAGATTTTTTTAACAAATAAAAAAGTAATTTTAACATATATTTTTACACATATTTGTAAGTACAGTCCAAAATGTAGATTAAATGTATTTTTAAAGAAATACAGTATATTTGAAAATGTATTTTGTAAAAATATTTTTAATATATTTTGTAATAAAAATGCATTTCAACATACAGTGTGTATATATATATATATATATATATATATATATATATATATATATATATTTATCAAAATATAATTTTGAAATATATTGAATATGGCCAAAATTGTAGTATTTCAAATATAGTTTTCTTCCATGTGAGTTACTTTCATAAATTAGCCCCTTTTTATCCCCTTACTCGGATTCCGGCAGTTCGGCATTTCATGACAGCGTCGGGGACAGTGGCCCTGGGGGGATCAATCATGGAAATGAGTCCTGCGAAGCAGAGACCGCTGGTGGGGAAGTTCAATTCATCCGCGTCGAAGTTGTATCCGCGAGGGTACTCCTTCTCATTCAGGTACAGGTGGCAGAATCCTAAAATTAAAAATGAATTTTGAAGTGAAACTTACACTTTCCAAGCACAAAAAAAAAGGAAAATCCCCTCCAGGTTTCCAGGTTATCCATATACATTGCAAGATATCATTGCCAATTCTTGCCTGCTTCCATTCTGCAGGTACTGAGAGAGGCCACGGGGCACTGTGCGTAACCCACATGGAAGAAAAATATATTTGAAAAATATTCTTCCCCAATATATTGACATATATTTGAAATGGTATAACTTTGGACATGTTCAATATATTAAAAAAAAAATATATATATATACATGCACTGTATGTCGAAATGCGTTTTTATTACAAAATATATCAAAAATATTTTTAAAAATAGGTTTTCAAATATACTGTATGTCTTTAAAAATACATTTAATCTACATTTTTGGAAAGTATTTACAAATATGTGTAAAAATATATGTTAAAATTACTTTTTTATATGTTAAAAAAATCTGAAGAATATATTTAAAAAAATATACTTTTAAAAATATTTTTCATATATTTTGTAATCTATAAAAGACGCATTTCAACATGCGTGTATATATATATATATATATATATATTTTTTTTTTTTTTTTTTTTTTTTTCATATATATATATTTTGAAATATATTGAATACGGCCAAAATTGTAGTATTTCAAATATATGTCAATATATTTGGGAAGAATATTTTTAAAATATATTTAAAATATTTTTTTCTTCCATATGGGTGGTGCACCCCCTCCCATGACTGATACTAAACATGCACACCTGGCAATTTTCTAAATATGCATGATGGGGTTTTATGCTGAGAGCTGATTGCTTCAAACACATCTAGGAAGGCAGAGGTGGTCCTGCATCTAGGAAGGCAGAGGTGGTCCTGCATCAAGGTAAGAGGGAGCTTTGGGACCCGTCCGGCCCTTTGCGGTGCGTTAGCGCGCAAACTGCCGAAGTATAAATGGGCCCAGAAAGGCAATTTTTGGTTCTGTTCAGAGATGAAAAGTTTACTCCAGTAAGCTTCATGCTTTTATGTTTGATTGTATACCATTGCCTTGTCTACCCCCTTCCCCCGCAGCTGTCCCCTCTTATTCTTACCAATACTTTGAGATCAGATTCAGTCCTCATGCATACGGGACGTATTTACGGCTGTTTTTGGCTTTTTAGGTTTTTTTTCCTACAGCCAATAAACCCCCCAACATGTTTCTCCTAGGTGTCCATACACACAAAGACTGCAATCAGCATTTTTTGGCTGGAAAAACCCCCAAAACTAGCGGGTTTCTAGAAGAGTTTTTCAGCTGTAAAAATGCTCTAACACTGAAAAACGTGGTAAAACTCCGCAAACCGGTGTTATTGGACTTTTTTTTACCCCCAAACAAATTTTTTGGGGGCAAAAAAAATGCTATAAAAAACTCAAACGCAGAAAAAACGCGAATGCAAAAATGCTGTAAAACACCACAAACCAGTGTTTTGGGATTTTTTTTTTGACCAAAAAAATAATAATTTTTTTGGTTAAAAAAAAGCTAAAAAAAGGCGGCTAAACACTAATGCAAAAATGCGGTAAAACACCGCCATTTTTGGACTTGAAAAAAAATTTTCATGGTACAAAAAACACTACAAAAGTACAAATGCAGAAAAACGTGGCTAAATGCAGCAAACCGAGGCTAAACGCTAATGCAAAAACGTGGTAAAACTCTGCAAACCGGCGTTTTTGGACTTTTTTTGACAACAAAAAAATTTTTTTGGGGTGGAAAAAAAATGCTAAAAAATACAAACGCAGCACAACACTGCTAAAAGCTCGTGCAAAAATTTGGTAAAACGCAGCAAACTGGCATTTGTGGACTTTTTTTGACCCCCAAAAATTTCTTTTGGGGGTAAAACAACCGCTAACAAACGCAGCTAAAAGCTAATGCAAAAACGCAGTAAAATACCACAAACTGGCGTTTTTGGATTTTTTTTGACACAAAAAAATTTATTTTTCGGTAAAAAAAAGCGGCTAAACGCTAATGCAAAAACGCGTTAAAACGCTGCGAAACGTTTTGACCAAAAAAGAAATGCTAAAAAAACAAACGCCTTAAAATGTGGCTAAATGCTGCTAAAAGCTAATGCAAAAACACAGTAAAACGCAGCAAACCAGCATTTTTTAACTTTTTCTGACCCCCCCCCCAAAAAAAATTTTTTCATGGGGGGGGGGGGGGGTAAAAAACCGCACACGCAAGTTTTGGTGCATTTAGTGGTGTTTTCCTGTTTTTGCATTTTTAGCGGGCTTTTTTACAAAAAAACAAATAGGGTTTTTTGCTCAAAAAAAAGTCCAAAATGCTGGTTTGAGCGGTTTACTGCGTTTTTCAGCATTAGAGCGTTTTTACAGTTACACTCTAGAAACCCGCTAGTTCTGGGGTTTTTTTCCACCCAAAAAATGTTTATTACAGTCTGTGTGGAGACTGTGCAGAGCCATGCAAAGCAGTGTTGCAGGAGCTGACAGGGAAGATGATTGGTAATCACCGGGCACCGTCGAGTAAACACCGGCCGGGACCCGTTGATTGACAGCCGAGGCTGTAAATGGTGGCGCGGGTAGGGCGTGCGTGTGCTCCCTAGCCGGAAGTGCAAAATCATGTATATATTGCGGTTATTATTGGGTCATTGCGAGAGAATTGCATGAGGTGGTTGGCTTCACCAATAGTGATCGTTCATTCAGGCCCAGGTTGACCACTATGAAGAAGACATTGAAGGAACCTAAGGGGAGAGGCTGGAGGAGAAACCCTACTGATACGTTGGAGGGTTCTCGTTGACTCCAGAACAGTGCACACCTCAAGGCTGGCCTTACAAAAGGGTGCAGGAGCAGATCTCCAGACCAGCATGTAAAAAAGAAAGGTGGAGAAGTCTACGCCCAGTGGCGCCTTCTCCACGTTCCTCGCAATAATCCCAGTCATGTTGACTTCTCGTTCTTTCCTTACCCAGCACTCTTTCCCCCAGTCCTCCGAGGTCCATGTAAGCTGTCTGGAAAGCTTCCTGCCATTGTTCATCCAGAGGGATCTCCTGTCCTTTGATCATGATGGTGGAACACCTTTCCAAAATGCGTTCTGGAGCTCCCTTCATTACGAGAAGATAACGCAGATCCAGAGGGTCCTGGAGCTCATGGATGGACAACTGGAGATGAAAATATTTCAGTTTAGTTATCGAAAAAAAAAAAATTCTCTTTTTAATTTTTCTCTAAAAGCTTATTAACATGGACTTCCATTCATCTCAGAACGGCCAATATCTTTATACAAGTGCAAAAGCAGCTTTATGGAGTTTAGAAGGAGGTCAAACACAGGTTAGAAGGTCAGAAGAACCTGAAAAGGAACTCAAATTGACCTCAGATTTAAGTGTTTCTCCATCTACACAAGTGCAAAAGCAGCTTTATGGAGTTTAGAAGGAGGTCAAACACAGGTTAGAAGGTCAGAAGAACCTGAAAAGGAACTCAAACCGACCTCAGATTTAAGTGTTTGTCCATCTACACAAGCCCAAAAGCAGCTTTATGGATTTTAGAAGGAGGTCAAACACAGGTTAGAAGGTCAGAAGAACCTGAAAAGGAACTCAAACCGACCTCATATTTATGTAAGTCCATCTACACAAGCCCAAAAGCAGCTTTATGGATTTTAGAAGGGGGTCAAACACAGGTTAGAAGGTCAGAAGAACCTGAGAAGGAACTCAAACCGACCTCAGATTTATGTGTTTTTCCATCTACACAAGGTCAAAAGCAGCTTTATGGAGTTTAGAAGGTCAAACACTTTAATCATCTGAGGTCAGTTCGAGTTCCTTCTCAGGTTCTTCTGACCTTCTAACCTGTGTTTGACCTTCTAAACTCCATAAAGCTGCTTTTGCGCTTGTGTAGATGGACATACATAAATATGAGGTTGGTTTGAGTTCCCTCTTAGGTTCTTTAGACCTTCTAACCTGTGTTTGACCTCTTCTAAACTCCATAAAGCTGATTTTGCGCTTGGATAGATGGACAAACACTTAAATCTGAGTTCAGTTTGAGTTCCTTTTCAGGTTCTTCTGACCTTCTAACCTGTGTTTGACCTCCTTCTAAACTCCATAAAGCTGCTTTTAGAATGGAAAAAGGTAAAATAGAAAATAACAGAATGGAATATAGCCATCTTCCAAAATTCCAATTTTGAAAAGAAAACAGAGTAGAATAGGAAAGAATAGAGTAAAACAAAATAGAATACAATATAATAGAAAATATAAGAATAGAATAGAAAAAAATAATACAATAGGATAGAGTACAATAAAATAGAATATAGCTGTCTTCCGAAATGCTAATTTTGAATATAATAAAAAGAAAAAGAATATAGCTGGATAGGATAGAACCAGCTATTCTTTGCAATGAATTCAGATTGGATATTTTTGATTAAATTCGATTTGAATACTTCAAATCCATTTGCAAAAATTAGAATCCAGTTGAAAATGAAAAAAAAAAAAAAAAACAAGGTACAAAAACAACAAAATAAAATGTAGTAATTTAACGGAGTGATGCCAAGTGAAAGATGGCCAGAACATTGACCGTTCACCTGAAACTTGTTGGTGGAGTTGAAGGGTAACTCCGACACTTTCTTGAAGCGATCTCTGTATTCCGTGACATTGCCAACCGTCAGCTCCGAGAATTTCAGCAGAGCGGTCTCCGAGGCATCGCCAATCACAATACGCTGAAGGGTGCAAAAGGGTGTAAAAATTAATGATGAGCTCACAACTACCGTCTATGTCGTCGATATATCCAGAATAAACTCTGTTATGTTGGTCCAAGTAGGCAAATTGTCAGGACCTGGATCACCTGCTGGTGTCACTGTGGTTCCTAGAGTGGAAGGTCGTAGTTCCAGCGTCCACCAGTTTAGCGTCTCCATGTTGCCAGCAGATCGCAGTGATCAATCGCCACTTGATGCTGGCTGCTGGGAGGATATTTAGTCCAAATGAACTGACAAGCTAAGTATTTGTTCAGTTCACAACTACCGTCTATGTTGTTGATATATCTAGAATAAACTCTAGTATATTGGTCCAAGTAGGCAAATTGTCAGGACCTGGATCACCTGCTGGTGTCCCTGTGGTTCCCAGAGCGGAAGGTCGTAGTTCCAGCGTCCACCAGTTTAGCGTCTCCATATTGCCAGCAGATCGAAGTGATCAATCGCCACTTGATGCTGGCTGCTGGGAGGATATTTAGTCCGAATGAACTGACAAGCTAAGTATCTGTTCAGTTCACAACTACCGCCTATGTCGTCGATATATCCAGAATAAACTCTGGTATATTGGTCCAAGTAGGCGAATTGTCAGGACCTGGATCACCTGCTGGTGTCACTGTGGTTCCCAGAGAGGAAGGTTATAGTTTCTATGTCGTCAATATATCCAGAATAAACTCTGGTATATTGGTCCAAGTAGGCGGATTGTCAGGACCTGGATCACCTACTGGTGTCCATGTGGTTCCCAGAGCGGAAGGTCGTAGTTCCAGCGTCCACCAGTTTAGCGTCTCCATATTGCCAGCAGATCGCAGTGATCAATCGCCACTTGATGCTGGCTGCTGGGAGGATATTCAGTCCGAGTGAACTGACAAGCTAAGTATCTGTTCAGTTCACAACAACTACCGTCTATGTCGTCGATATGGTTCCAGTTCCAATCCAAACTCTGGTATATTGGATCCAAGTAGGCGAATTATCAGGACCTGGACTTGGTATATTGGATCCCTGCTGGACCACCTGCTGGTGTCTCTGTGGTTCCCAGAGTGGAAGGTCGTAGTTCCAGTGTCCACCAGTTTAGCGTCTCCATGTTGTCAGCAGATCCCAGTGATCAATCGCCACTTGATGCTGGCTGCTGGGAGGATATTTAGTCCCTCCCATGCCAGTACCTCTCACTTCATTGTTTTGCTCTGCTAGCCGGATGCTGCTTGCTATTTATTCTGACTATGCTCCTGATTTTGCTTTTGCCTTGTACCCTTCTACCTACACTCCTGATTCCAGCCTTGGTTCCCCCTTCCTGACTGTTCCTTACACATAGGATTTTACCCCGTTGATCCATGTTTCCCATGTTGCCAGTTAGGAATTTTGTCCTTTGGTTGTCGTTCGTTCATATCTTAGTATTTGCTGTATGTTCTGATGCTGGTATTTTGGACGAATTTTGGGTTCACTGTAAATAAATCTTACTTTAGACATATATATGGTCTGGTCTCCGTTTCCCAAGTTTAGCTACTTAGATCTGGCCACCCCTGCTGCTGATTCCCGACATGAATATAAAGGTTGGAAGGATGAGTTTCAAACCCTACAGCTCATTAGTACTCACCTTGGGTACAGGTACTCCATCCTGTCCACCCTTGAAAGAGGCACGATTACAAAGGCTGACCACCTTACTCAGAGCTCTCCATGTATCCGATGTTTGGTCGAAGCTTTGTCCTGAAATGTAGAACATATCAAATAAATGACCTCCAAGAAGCACTGTGGTGACCACAAATGCGCTCGTGACCTATGATTTTGACGAGTAGCCAACAACTGTGTCATCTGAGCTAGAATGTTGAGACTTTTCAAATCCAAGACTCAATGACCACTTAGCCATGGCCAGTGCCAACAGTTAGGATGTCAAGGTTAAGTGGTTAGATAGTCACCTGATTGATCTTCAGTGGTGTCAGCTGTATGGATCTGATTGTCAAACCACAAGTGAGACACAGTCATCCGGTTCTGGGTCAAGGTTCCCGTCTTGTCGGAGCAGATGACGGACGTGGATCCAAGTGTCTCCACAGCTTCAAGGTTCTTTACTACACAGTTCTTTCTGGCAAGACGTTTGGCCGTGAGAGACAGACACACCTGTTAGCGTAGAGAGGAGCGTCAGTGACACCAAAGCTGAGCAGAAAATTAAAAGAACAAGCTCGCTGAACTTTTTTAACACTTAAGAATAGTTGAGGTCTGCAAAGCAAGGGTGAAGGACGATGCAGGTCAAAATAAAAATCCTAAACCCTTCCACCCATCACCTGCTAGTCTCAGATTTTTATTTATATTGAGTATGTGGAGTCCTCTTACAGTGACGGTGGCCAAGAGACCTTCCGGGACGTACGCCACCACGATAGCCATAAAGAAGACCATAGCCCTGAGGAAGGGGTAGCCGATGACCATAGCAACGATAAAGAAGGTGCCGCCGAAGAAGATGGCCAGCCCCGCGATGATGTCCACAAAGTGTTCAATCTCTATGGCAATGGGGGTCTTCTCGTTACCCACTCCGGAAGCCAAGCTGGCAATGCGGCCAATGATGGTTCGGTCTCCGGTGTTACAAGTGATTCCTGTGGCCGTACCTACAAAACCATGCAATAAAAGTTGGCTATGTCTTAGCACCTTTATACTTTTTATTTCTTAGATATAAATCCTGGAGCTTTTCATTTTGTACTCCAGTTTTATCATGAATAAAATGACCAAAATTTTAGTATCCAAAACCAGATTGCTTCCTTGTGACCTGGAGACCCTAGAGGAGTGAGCTCCTCCTTCTGAAATGCCGCTGTGGTATTGAGCGCCACCTACCATGGAATAAAGACCCTACACCTGCCTACAGGCAAAAACAAGCAGAATTTGCTCAAAAAATTTGCCAAACCTTTACATAATTGATAGCCTATGCTGGCTTTTTCGACAACCCTGGATGTTATCAGGTTCAACGGCATTTGTAGCTTTTCCCTTGAGATGTTTGTCGAGGAGTTCCTTACCTTCTAGACACATGGTAGAGAAGAATGCAATATTTCGTGTTTCCAGGGGGCTCTCATGGGTATATTCTGGTGATCGAGTCTGTGGTTCAGATTCCCCTGTCAGAGAAGAATTGTCCACCTAAAAGCAGGTCACAGGGTCAGGTTTTTAAAGTTCTTCCAAAGCCAAGTTCATGATAGACCTCCATAAACCTGGTGAACATTTTTTCGATCAAGTGCCCAAAGTGGTGGGAGAGTCTCACCTTGCACCCTTGCGCGGAGATAATTCTAATATCCGCCGGGACGCGATCTCCACCCTTAATTTCCACAAGGTCTCCTACCACCAGCTGGTTGGCGTTTATCTGAAACTTCTCTCCATCTCGTATAACGGTGGCTTGCTAGACACAAAAATGAATTCGGAATTACAACAGAATTTTTTTTTTCCTTTTTGGATACGTATGGAATGGTTAAAAAATAAAAAAAAACCTCAATTTTTTTTTTTGGCCAATTGGGAGCCATTGAGGAGATTTTCCTTCACTTCCTGCTTTTTGTACAATAGGCAGTGAAAGGAAATCTCTCCATGGTCAGGTAAATCCACTCTTAGATATCCCTGAAGCAGGGGCGGACTGACCATTAGGAAACTCGGGCACTGCCCGAGGGCCCGGGGTCAGTAGGGGGCCCAATGAGATGCCCCTGGTACCTTTTCATTGGCTTTTTTGGGTGTGGTTTGAGTGTGGGTGAGGACACAGGGGCCCCATGATCCCCTGTTGCCCGGGGGCCCCATGAGTTGTCAGTCTGTCCTGCTCTGGAGTAATTGTCTCCAATGGAATAATTCCTCTTTATCCTTCTCCTGGTGGACAGGATGGTGCTGGGGACAGGGGCGGACTGACCATTTTGGAAACTCGGGCACTGCTCGAGGGCCCAGGGTCAGTAGGGGGCCCCATGAGATGCCCCTGGTACCTTTTTCATAGGCTTTTTTTTTAAGTTTGGGCAAAGACACAAGGGCCCCATGATCCCCTATTGCCCGGGGGCCCCATGAGTTGTCAGTCCACCCCTGGCTGGGGAATGTTTGTGTTGTTTATTACCCATTTCTTTGAGGACTGATACCTTTTTTTTTTCCTAGTTTAGTGTCAGTCCAACCAAAAGTGACATTTTAATTATAATTTGTGCCTAAGGGGAGCCTGAATCCTGGGGCGGACTGACAACTTATGGGGCCCCCGGGCAATAGGGGGATCATGGGGCCCCTGTGTCCTCGCCCACACTCAAACCACACCCAAAAAAGCCTATGAAAGGTACCAGGGGCATCTCATGGGGCCCCCTACTGACCCTGGGCACTCGGGCAGTGCCCGAGCACCCGAATGGTCAGTCCACCCCTGGCTGAATCTTCTTTCTGAATTCTCCAACAGAGAGACCTCCCTGCTATAATTTCTGACTCCATTCCTGCACACCTTGTGTTCCAGCTCCCTCTCTTACATCCTTCATAGTAATAAATAATGAATCCAACAGGGATGGTGGGAATTCCTCATAATGGGCACGGCGGGTGTACAGACCTGGGAACTCAGCACAGAGATGGCGGGAACCCCTCATAAAGGGACCCAGTGGGTGAACAGACCCGGGAACTCAGCACAGGGATGGTGGGAACCCCTCATAATGGGTACAGCGGGTGTACAGACCCGGGAACTCGGCACAGGGATGGCGGGAACCCCTCATAATGGGCACGGCGAGTGTACAGACCAGGGAACTAGCACAGGGATGGTGGGAACGCCTCATAATGGACACAGCGGGTGTACAGAACCGGGAACTCAGCACAGGGATGGTGGGAACCCCTCATATTAGGCACAGCGGGTGTACAGACCCGGGAACGTAGCACAGGGATGGTGGGAACCCCTCATAAGGGGCACAGCGGGTGTACAGACCCGGGAACTCAGCACAGGGATGGTGGGAACCACTCATAATAGGCACAGCGGGTGTACAGACCCGGGAACTCAGCACAGGGATGGTGGGAGCCCCTCATAATGGGCACAGCGGGCTTACAGACCCGGGAACTCAGCACAGGGATGGCGGGAACCCCTCATAATGGGCACAGCAGGTGTACAGAGATCCTACAAATAGAATCCCAGAGATATAAAAGAGGAGGCAGGGTTTTAACTCAATAGTGGGCAGCACAGTGGCTAAATGGTCAGCGCTCCCGCCTGGCAGTACTGGGTCCTTGGTTCAAATCCCAACCACAGCAAAACCTGCCTGAAGTTTGCATGTTCTCCCTGTGCCTGCGTGGGTTTCCTCCAGGTACTTCCGGTTTCCTCCCACACCCAAAGACATGCTGGTAGGTGAATTGGCTCCTGTCTAAATTGGCCCTAGTATGTGTATGTAGGAATGTGAGTTAGGGACCTTAGATTGTGTAAATAAACCCCTGAGGGTAAGGGACCTTAATAGTACGCCATCCATCAAATAAGTTTTGGACTTTAGATGGCCCCTTTCAGCTAAAATACAAAACCTACCCAGCGGCAAGGAAAACTTGTAGTAAATAACATTTTCAGGAAAAAAAAGACATTTGGGGGAAACATTTTATACATATTTTTTTTTTTTTTTTTTTGTCAAGTTAATTTTAAGGCAGTACAATGAGAGGTTTTTTCAAGTTGTACACATGATATATACAGTAGATCAGTATTGTATTCTGCCTGTAGGGGGAGCCATCGTACCATTCAATCATGCTGACTCTCAAGGATTTCTATACTTTTCAGGACTTCTTTATAACAGGATATAGTATCATATATAATATTGGTATAAACCTCCTGCGCTCCTAACTAAAACAATAAATACAGATATAACAAGAAAAAAGGAGCTGCTAACATCTAATCATACCTAATGATCTACGGACAAAAAAGTAAATAAATGATGTAGCGCTACCTAAAATATATAATATTTAACATGCATAAGTGACCTTACCAAGACATAAACACACAAAAAGGGATAAATTCTAAAATAAATATACGGAAAAAATTATAAGTGACTCGATCCTCATAAGATCAAAAGTAAATACTAATAGTGTCTGAATATGACCCGATCCTCTGGGGGAATCCAGTGTCTGAAAGTGACCCGATCCTCTGGGGATCCAGTGTCTGAAAGTGACCCGATCTTCTGGGGATCCAGTGTACTGAAAGTGACCCGATCTTCTGGGGATGTACCAGTGTCTGTAAAAGTGACCCGATCCTCTGGGGATCCAGTGTCTGAAAGTGACCCGATCTTCTGGGGATCCAGTGTCTGAAAGTGACCCGATCCTCTGGGGATCCAGTGTCTGAAAGTGTACCCGATCTTCTGGGGATCCAGTGTCTGAAAGTGACCCGATCCTCTGGGGATCCAGTGTCTGAAAGTGACCCGATCTTTATCTGGGGATCCAGTGTCTGAAAGTGACCCGATCCTCTGGGGATCCAGTGTCTGAAAGTGACCCGATCTTCTGGGGATCCAGTGTCTGAAAGTGACCCGATCCTCTGGGGATCCAGTGAAAAAAGTGACCCGATCTTCTGGGGATCCAGTGTCTGAAAGTGACCCGATCTTCTGGGGATCCAGTGTCTGAAAGTGACCCGATCCTCTGGGGATCCAGTGTCTGAAAGTGACCCGATCTTCTGGGGATCCAGTGTCTGAAAGTGACCCGATCTTCTGGGGATCCAGTGTCTGAAAGTGACATCGATCTTCTGGGGATCCAGTGTCTGAAAGTGACCCGATCCTCTGGGGATCCAGTGTCTGAAAGTGACCCGATCTTCTGGGGATCCATGTCTGAAAGTGACCCGATCTTCTGGGGATCCAGTGTCTGAAAGTGACCCGATCTTCTGGGGATCCAGTGTCTGAAAGTGACCCGATCCTCTGGGGATCCTCTTGTGAAGAAAGTGAATAACAATCCACCACGGGATTCAAAGTGATACCAACAACTGAAAGTGTCTATACAAGGATCTCGCAAAGTGGGTGTATATAGGAATTGATCCTAAATAGGATCTAAGGCAGGGGCGGACTGACAACTCATGGGGCCCCCCCGGGCAATAGGGGATCATGGGGCCCCTGCGTCCTTGCCCAAACTCAAAAAAGCTTATGAAAAAGGTACCAGGGGCATCTCATGGGGCCCCCGAGCAATAGGGGATGATGGGGCCCCTGTGTCCTTGCCCAAACTCAAAAAAGCCTATGAAAAAGGTATCAGGGGCATGTCATGGGGCCCTCTACTGACCCCGGGCCCTCGGGCAGTACCCAAGTTTCCAAATGGTCAGTCCGCCCCTGATCTAAGGTGTTGAACACTCAAACAATAAGATAGAATAGTCCAACTGGGACTGACACATAAACACTGTCCAAAATTAGAACTGAAGGAGAAAGAGAAAAACGCACATAAATCCAGGAAAAACTCCTTATTACAATACTAACCAAAGAATACCCCCAAAAACAAATGTCTAACCAAACATAAAAATTGTGAGAAAAAAAGTATATAATTCTACATGCGTGCTATGGCAGTACAGTGAGGTTTTTTTTATAGTTTTTTTTTTTTTTTTTTTTTTTTTTACTGTCTTGTTTTTTTTTTGTTTGTTTTTGTTTTGTTTTTTTTTTTTTTTGTTTTTTTTGCTAAGCTGCCTAATTTTTTTAAAAAAAAAAAATTGTCATGAACACTTCATGTACCAACAAAATCATGCTCAGTCCTGGGGAAGGTTCTTTGTTTTTTTTTTTCTGCATTGTGTCATGATTTTGCTCTCTCGGATTGATCACATGACCTCCCCCCCCCACACCCAGTGCCACCTGTTACTACAATTAATTATACATTAATTAAAAAATGTAAAAAAAAAATTAAATTCACAATTTAACTACATGGAAAGGCTTGGTGGGGAATGGCGCGGGATCTGAAATTATGGATGGCGTGCCAATGCAGCCGGGAAGCTGTCTCTACCGGCTGAGGAACTTTTGGGTGAAATTTGAAGTGTAGGGGGGCAAAAAATATGGCTCAAAGGGCTGTAGATATATATATATATATATATATATATATATATATATATATATATATGGCAGAGCTCTACATCCTCTAAAACTGCATGTACATTGTGTTCTGGGGCAAACTCGAATGTTACTAGGCTATTTTCCCTGAAGGTCGAATGTAATTCATTCATACAGGATGGAGTGAATTGGAAAATGCTGCATTAGGGCCACTAGATGGTGCTGATGAGGAAATAAGAATTTCTAGGAGGATTATGTGTCACTCCTTTTATAGTACCGTGGAACAATAATTATTTGCATTGAGTGTTATGACCATCTTTTTTCACCTTCAAATCACCAAAAATAAATAAAAAAAATAAAAAATGTAAGTCTCATTTTTCTAATTTTGGTAACGTTCAAATTTTGTATCAGTTTTTTTTTTTTTTTACCTGGGGCACGAGGTTCTTGAAGCTGGCAATGATGTTGGTGCTCTTGAATTCCTGGTAGTAGCCGAAGCAGCCGGTGACCACGACCACAGCTATCAGAGCGACGGCCAAGTACAGCTAGAAGACAAAGATGGAAGCAGACGTGGGGTCAGACGTAGAACCACCTGCTTGGCGTCAGGACTTTAGATAAAGGAGAACTCCAGCCGGGATCTCGACCACCAGAATAACTTGTGTGTAACAGGGTGTTAGTCTCACATTGGTTTGCTCAGGTGAGACATCTAGTGGTAGAAAGTGAGAACTACACTAGAAATCTCACTAGAAGGCCTAACCTCCCCCTAGAACAGGGGTCTCCAAAACCTTTCTGTGCAGGGACCACGTCATATATTTTGCACATATTCATGGGCCAAAATGTCCCCATCCGAGTCCCCCCCTTACATTAGGGTCTTCATCAGAGTGCCTTCGTACATCAGTGTCTCCAATCCAAATCCCCCCTTACATCGGGGTCCCATCCAAATCCCCCCCTTGCACCAGGGTCCCGATCTGAGTGTCCCCCCTGACATCAGTGTCCCCCCTTACATCAGTGTCCCCCCCCTTACATCAGGGTCCCCATCAGTGTCCCCCCATACATCAGGGTCCTCATTAGATTCCCCCCCTTACATCAGGGTCCCCATCCGAGTGCCCCTTGCATCAGGGTCCCCATCAGTGTTCCCCCCCTACATCAGGGTCCCCATCAGTGTCACCCCTTACATCAGGGTCCTCATCAGTGTCACCCCTTACATCAGGGTCCCCATCCGAGTGCCTCCTTACATCAGGGTCCCCATCCTAGTGCCCCTTACATCAGGGTCTTCATCAGTGTCACCCCTTACTTCAGGGTTCCCATCAGTGTCCCCCCTTACATCAGCGTCCCCATCAGTGTCCCCCCTTACATCAGGGTCCCCCCTTACATCAGGGTCCTCATCAGTGTCACCCTTTTACATCAGGGTTCCCATCTGAGTCCCCCTTTATATCCCAGTGCCCCCTTACATCAGGGTCCCCATCCGAGTGTCCCTTTACATCAGGGTCTCCATCCTAATGCCCCCTTACATGGGGGTCTCCATCCGAGTCCAAAACTTTAGGGATATGCCAAAGACCCTAGCTGTGGGCCGGATGTGGCCCTCGGGCCGTAGGTTGGAGGCCCCAGCTATAGAAGGCAGAACAGAAAGTGAAGTACTTCCCTGACAAACCAATTCCAATGAAGGAGCTAAGGATACTCGGGGGCATCTAGTGGTAGAAAAAGGAAACTACACCAGATATCTCACTAGAAGGAAACAGTGTGGGTCTTGCACCCTGTTACACGAGGACTTATTTGGTTCTTCTTTGTCTGAATTGTAGTTGATCCTGCACCCTTATGGTTATAATGTACAAACACCCACCCCCCCCCCCCATTGGCTGAAGTTGGGTGCTGAAGTATTAATAGGAGTAGCCTCCACTAGTCAGGTGGGACTGCAATGTATATAATGGCTAGTTGTGGTTTGGACAATCTAGCCAATACCATTCCATTTTGATGATTTAAAGCACAATACTTGTTGAAATGTATTATTTAGTTTGGGATAAAGGAGGGAAGGACTGGAGCCTATGTTGAGGTTGTCTGTATTTCTGTTGGGGAGAATTTTCCTCACTTCCTGTCAGGAAAAGGAAATAAGAAAATAATTTCACCAATCAGAACACAATCACATTTTTCGTAGAGAAGGGAAGGATTAAAACAAATTTTTTTTTTGTTGTCCATGTGATCCTAGCCTGGTGAACACCCCCCCCCCCCCATTTTATTGCACCACTGTCACAGGCATACCCCTGTTGGGGTAATAGGTTGCAAGTAAAACTTGCTAGGGTCTCATATCTTCTCCACTATGTCCAAAAATGAGTTGGGTTGGGTTGGGTTGGGTTGAGTTGGGTGGGGTTGGGTTGGGTTGAGTTGGGTTGGGCTGGGTTGAGTTTCAACATTTTATTAGTTTGGGGTTTCCCATTAATAAGGTCATACACGTCATAACCCTTAACAACCAATTACCATTCCGAGGTAAACCATGACTTGCAGTGGCAAAAAAGGGTGAAGACCAAGCATGGATCTTTATTCTGTAATCCTACATTTGGCCAAAGGTCCTACCCTACTGCTGGCCATCACTCACATTATCCGCAGCAGTCTGGTCCCCCTGCGAGGTCTGGATCCCAAAGGCAATGAGACAGATGACAGCCGCCACCCACATCAGGCACTGCAGCCCTCCGGCCAGCTGACGGGCAAACTTCACATATTCTGGGGTGCCTTTTGGAGGTTTGAGCTCGTTAGGCCCATCGCGGATCAAGACCTCTGCTGCAAAACTGCTCTTCAGACCCTGTGGAAGATAGGACACCATTATATCACAGAAGATCTCAAATAACACGACGTCAACCAATCACATACTACACTGGGGGTCATGCAACCTCTACTGTACATCAGAGATGTCGTCGATAAGTTGTAGCCATGTATAAAGATTTTTTTTTTTCGTAAGGGAGGACATACATGACTTTTTAATGTAAATGAGATTTTAGATGATACTTGGGTATGAAAAACTCTGGTATCAAAATCCACTAAGCGGTTGTGGATACCTGACCTTCACACCTATAAGAGCTTGGTGGACACCCGTCCTTCACACCTATAGGAGCTTGGTGGACACCCGTCCTTCACACCTATAGGAGCTTGGTGGACACTCGTCCTTCACACCTATAGGAGCTTGGTGGACACTCGTCCTTCACACCTATAGGAGCTTGGTGGACACCCGTCCTTCACACCTATAGGAGCTTGGTGGACACCTGTCCTTCACACCTATAGGAGCTTGGTGGACACCCGTCCTTCACACCTATAGGAGCTTGGTGGACACCCATTCCAAAGCCATGGGCATTAATATGGAGTTGGCCTCCTCTTTGCGACTATAACATCCTCCACTTTTCTGGCAAGACTTTCTACAAGATTTTGGAGGGTGTCTGTGAGTGTCAGGACCCCCTGATCTGAACCTGCAGCCTCTGCTGTGTCCAGCAGCATCTCTTCTTTCTGAGCCGCATGAGATGCTGGACAGCTCCCTGCCTGATTCCTTAGACAACCTTGCCTTGTGTCTTGTTTTTCTTGAACCTTGAATGCTTAGCTCCTCCCATAAACATCCTATTTAAGCCATGCCTGTGCACTTCCTGTTTGCCAGATTATTGTGCTCTCCTCCAGCAAATATCTCGCTCTTGTCACTTCTGCTGCCATCCATATCTTCTCTACCACTCATTACTGATATTTGCCTTGTCTCTCGACTGCGCTTCTGCCTGATCCCAACCTGCAACCACTTGTTACGAAACTTTGGCTGGTTTACTGACTATACTCCTGCTATATCTGCTACTGGACCCCAGCTTACTCACCTCCGTGTGGGTTGGTCCTGAGGACCACGATCTGGTACAAACATGCAGCAAAAACCCATTTCCACCATCAGGAACTCTGGTGAGCACTAGTTAGTGCTTTTAAATCTGCACCTCAGGTGAGCTTGCATCATCTACCAAGGTATACCTATCCCGCTGGTCAGTGGGAGCCTCTCCACTGCTATAGCTACTGGTCTCTGAGCTTGACCAATGACTGGAACAGTGGGAATTTTGTGCCAATTAATGAGGTCAGGTACTCATGTTGGATGAGAAGATCTGGCTTACAATCCAATTCATTCCACAGGGGTTAAGCAGGTTGAGGTCAGGGCTCTGTGCAGGACACTTGAGTTCCTCCACATCAAACTCCTCAAACCATGTCTTAATGGAGCTGGCTTTGTACGCCAGGGCGCAGCCATGCTAGAAGAGGAAAGGTCCATCCCCATAATGTTATGACAACGTTGGAAGAGCACAATTGTCCAAAACGGGGATAGGCAACCTTGACACTTCAGCTGTGGTGAAGCTACAAATCCCATCCTTCCTCTGGGAGTCATACCTGCCTTTGGCTGTCAAAACCTTGCAATGCGTCATGGGAGTTTCGGTTCCACAACAGGTGGAGTGCCACGGTTGCCTACTTCTGGAACTAAAATGTCTTTGCATACTACAGTATTAACAGGCCCCTACACTTAAATTCAACAATTTGGAAGGGGAGGTGCACAGGCTTTTGATCGAAAAGGGGCAGACTTCAATGGTTTTCAAATATCAGTTTTGGATGAGGCTCTTTAGAGTGAGCGTAGTCAGGCGGACTGACCATTTAGGCACTCGGGCACAGCCCAAGGGCCTGGGGTCAGTAGGGGGCCCCTTGAGATGCCCCTGATACCTTTCATAGGCTTTTTTGGGTATGGTTTGAGTGCAGGCAAGGACACAGGGGCCCCATGATTTCCTATTGCCCGGGGGCCCCATGAGTTGTCAGTCCACCCCTGGGCATAGTTAAGGTGAAGAATGCTTTACTGCATGAAGTAGTAAAAGCAAAACAATCATGGAGTTTAAAAAGTTTCTGGTAAATTTCTTACAGCTAATGGTTAAAAGACTAAAGGCTAATAGAGCAGTTTTTTCAAAGAGGTACCAAGGACTATACAAAATCAGTTCCTTCAGCAGCTTGCAGCCAACTCCAACCACAGACTATACAAAGTCAGGTCTTTCGGTGGCCTATGGCCAACCCCAACCAAGGACTAAGCAAAGCCATTTTCTTCAGAGGCCTACAGCCAATCCCAACCAAGCACCAAACCTATTTAGGTCTTTTAGCAGCCTACAGCTAGCTACAGCCACAGACTATACAAAGTCCATTCTTTCAACGGCCTGCAGCCAGCCCCAATGAAGGACTAAACAAAGCCATTTTCTTCAAAGCCTACGACCAAGGACCAACAAAGTTAGTTCCTTTAGCGGCCTAGAGCCAACCCCAACCAAGGACCAGACAAAGTTAGTTCCTTTAGTGGCCTAGAGCCAACCCCAACCAAGGACCAGACAAAGTTAGTTCCTTTAGTGGCCTAGATCCAACCCCAACCAAGGACCAGACAAAGTTAGCTCTTTTAGCGGCCTAGAGCCAACCACAACCAAGGACGAGACAAAGTTAGTTCCTCCTTTAGTGGCCTAGAGCCAACCCCAACCAAGGACCAGACAATGTTAGTTCTTTTAGCGGTCTAGAGCCAACCCCAACCAAGGACCAGACAAAGTTAGTTCTTTTAGCGGCCTAGAGCCAACCATAACCAAGGACCAGACAAAGGTAGTTCTTTTAGTGGCCTAGAGCCAACCCCAACCAAGGACCAGACAAAGTTAGTTTTTTTTAGTAGCCTAGAGCCAACCATAACCAAGGACCAGACAAAGTTAGTTCCTTTAGCGGCCTAGAGCCAACCATAACCAAGGACCAGACAAAGGTAGTTCTTTTAGTGGCCTAGAGCCAACCCCAACCAAGGACCAGACAAAGTTAGTTTTTTTAGTAGCCTAGAGCCAACCATAACCAAGGACCAGACAAAGTTAGTTCCTTTAGCGGCCTAGAGCCAACCCCAACTAAGAACCAGACAAAGTTCTTTTAGTGGCCTACAGCCAACCACAACCACAGACTATACAAAGTCAGTTTCTTTAGCAGCCTACAGCCAACCCCAACCAAGGTCTATACGAAGTATGTTCCTCAGCAGCCTACAGCCACTCCCAATCATAGACTTTACAGCTCCCCCATCTAGAGACAACTTACTTTTGAGATGCTTGTTTGATACTTCAGTTCCAGCTCCTCTATGGTAATCTCATGGTCATTCTGCAAAAGAGGATGTCAAATTTTAAAATAACATTTCAACATCTAGTCCTGGAGTACTATTATGGGACTTATTATGAAGACCACATTTGCATTTCAACGCTCTTTGCCATATGTTGCTGTTTTATTGTTAACTGGCTCCTCTCCACTGTAACAAAAATAAGTGTTTATAGAAAAGGTTGGACTTCAGCTTCCCCACCCAAAAAATTATGACAAATGAAAAATGTCCAACCCCACTGATTGTTTCCTTCTGTGGTTCAACGTAAAAACAAAAACTGATCCAAGTCCATGGAGCAATTACCATGATTGGTGTGATGTATCAAGAAAGAAACTTGACAATGGAATGGCTGGACATACATGTGTGGACATAATGACTGAAAACGTTTAGTTCTCGATTCAACAACAGATCTCCTTGGCAAAGGTCCCAACTCTGTTCCTGCTCAGATGGGAGTTTGTAGGATGTTCATATCCAACTTTTGTTTTTCAACTGCTCCTGTTAGATTCTTTATATTATAAAATAAATGGAAAATCCATACGGGATGGTGGGGACCCATTGGCACAGCAGGTGTGCAGATCCAGGAACTCGGCATGGAAATAGTGGGAACCCTCATAATGGGCACATTGGGTGTAAAGACCTGGGGACCCAGCACAGGGATAGTGGGAACCCCTCCTAATGGGCAGCAGGTGTGCAGATCCAGGAACTCAGCATGAAAATAGTGGGAACCCTCATAATGGGCACACCAGGTGTAAAGACCTGGGGACCCAGCACAGGGATAGTGGGAACCCCTCCTAATGGGCACAGCAGGTTTACAGACCCAGCAACTTAGCACAGGGATAGTGAGAACCCCTCATAATGGGCACAGCAGGTGTACAGACCCGGGAACTCAGCAAAGGGATGGTGGGAACCCCTCATAATGGGAACAGCAGGTGTACAGACTCAGGAACTCAGTACAAGGATGGTGGGAACCCCTCAAAATGGGCACAGCTGGTCTACAGACCTGGGAACTCAGCACAGGGATGGTAGGAACCCCTCATAATGGGAACAGCAGGTGTACAGACCCAGGAATTCAGTACAAGGATGGTGGGAACCCCTCATAATGGGCACAGCAGGTCTACAGACCCGGGAACTCAGCACAGGGATGGTAGGAACCCCTCATAATGGGAACAGCAGGTGTACAGACCCAGGAACTCGGTACAAGGATGGTGGGAACCCCTCATAATGAGCAAAGTAAGTGTGCGGACCTGAGAACTCACAGGCATACCACCAAAAGAGTCCCCAAAAGGAGAGAGAAAACTTTCAAGAGATTTAGATCTCAACCATCTGCCAAACACTGAAGAGTCAGTACTGGTTGGACTGGCCCTTTAAGACCCCTTGAAGGGGGCAGAGATGGGAACATCCCTGCAAACATCTCACACTTGGAGTTCTCAAAAGATGAGAAGACAATGAACAGTTTAACCCAACCTAAGCTATTCATAACCAAAATATGAGTCCTAGATACTTTGTAATTGTGTCATTTCTTCATGTAATGTCCACTTTGTGGTCTCACCTTTATTCTGGGGCTTTAAAAAGATTATTATTATTGTTATACAGGATTTATATAACGTAAATATTCCTAACCGATTTGGTTGGGAGGGCATTTATAGTACATGCATGAAGTGGGAGTGTAGTTCATTTCAGATCCTTTGACCCCCGGTTCACATATATGCGACCGTTTGGGCCGTGTTTTGCGCAGGCATGAGAGCCCGTTCTTTTGAATGGACTCCCATGTCCCGTGACACGCAGGGAAGAAGTCCATGCAGTTCTTCTGAAAACGCAGCCGTGGTTCCCAGTGCGGATGGCGTGCCATGCAGGTCCGCATTCCACTGTGCAGGTGGGATTTTCGTGCGGATCTGCAGCCGCACCACCCGCACAGATGTGAACCTAGCCTTAGGGCTCTCTCTCTCCTCTCTCTCTCCCTCCTTTGATCTCCTCCTCTCTCCCCCCCCCCCTCTTCTCTCTCTTCTCTTCTCCTCTCTCTCTCTCTTCCTTCTCTCTCTCTTCTCTTCTCTCTCTCTCTCCCCCTCATCTCTCTTCTCTCTCTCTTCCTTCTCTCTCATTCTCTCTCTCTTCCTTCTCTCTCATTCTCTCTCTCTCTCTCCTTCTCTCTCTCATCCTCTCTCTCTCTCTCTCTCCTCTCTCTCTCTCTCCTCCTCTTCTCTCTCTCCCCCCATCTCTCTTCTCCCCCCATCTCTCTTCTCTCTCCTCTCTCTCTCCCCCATCTCTCTTCTCCTCTCTCCCCCATCTCTCGTCTCTCTCTCTCTCCCCCATCTCTCTTCTCTCTCCCCCATCTCTCTTCTCCTCCCCCCCCCCCCGTCTCTCTTCTCTCTCCCCCCCATCTCTCTTCTCTCTCCCCCATCTCTCTTCTCTCTCTCTTCTCTTCTCTCCCCCCATCTCTCTTCTCCTCCCCCCCCGTCCCCTCTCTTCTCTCTCCCCCCCCCCATCTCTCTTCTCTCTCTCTTCTCTCTCTCCCCCCATCTCTCTTCTCTCTCCCCCATCTCTCTTCCCCCCCATCTCTCTCTCTCTTCCCCCCCCCATCTCTTCTCTCTCCCCCATCTCTCTTCTCTCTCCCCATCTCTCTTCTCTCTTCTCTCTCTCTCTCTCTCTTCTCTCTCTCCCCCTCTCTCTCTCTCTCTCTCTCTCTCTCTCTCCATTCTCTCTCTCTCTCTCTCTCTCTCTCTCTCTCTCTCCATTCTCTCTCTCTCTCTCTCTTCTCTCTCTCTCTCCATTCTCTCTCTCTCTCTCTCGTCCTTCTCTCTCATTCTCTTTCATTCTCTCTTTTTTAATAACATGTCGATCACAATCGTTTGTTCCCCAGAAATAGGATGTTATCAGCCTCCTCCGTACCCACCGCCGGCCGTTTAGGCGGAAGGAAATCTGCGTCCTGCTGTGTGCCTGGTAACCGCAGAGATCGCCGTCTGCGCAGACAGTTGTCGCGGGATTGTTTGCACGTTTGTATCACATCTGCTCAGGAAAAGTGATCATAATAGAGGAACGGCAGATAACTTATTCTTCTCGTGAACACGGTTTTCATAATAAAGTGATCAGCGCAACCTAATCAAATCAGTGTGACTGTTGTCTGTCTGTCTGTCTGTCTGTCTGTCTGTCTGTCTGTCTGTCTGTCTGTCTGTCTGTCTGTCTGTCTGTCTGTCTGTCTGTCTGTCTGTCAGTACGGCTGATGGATCCGCTCATTACATAGGCAGGCATTACTTCTTCTATATGTATAAAAACACAAAGAAGGAGAGCACATGGGCTGCACACCTAATAGGCCAACCTCAAATCAAGTTTATTGTCCATTAATCACATAAAAAGTAACATCGGAGATACGACATGTAATCAGGGGTGTATTTACCACAAGGCAAGCAAGGTATTTGCCTAGGGCGGTATTTATCAGGGGGCAGCAGCGCCCCCCAGAAGAAGGGACACACACGACATGGGAAACAGGTGAGATCTGAGAGCCTGACTCTCGTTCTGGGATTTCCAGAGCCATGAAGGTGAGTATCTATGAGTGGGGTCGGTGTTACTCGAGGGCCCTCTTGGCTGGGGGGGGGGGAGGTGGTGTTGGTCATTGTCAGGCTCCCTCCCTTCCTTTGGGGGGGTTGCTGTTGGTCGGTGTCTGGCTCTTTCGGGAGGGGGGGGACATAAAATTTGTATGCCTAGGGCAGCGTAGAACCTACATACACCTCTGCATGTAATCCAACATCCAATGGGTCTAACCTACCCCCATGTTATACCCCTAAGGCTGGCCATACACTATACAATTTTCTTGAGATTTTTGGTTTAGATTTACCAAAAACCATATAATAGGAGGTAAAACCTAACAACACTTTCAATTGTATCCAATCAGGAAGGCTCTTGCACTACATAGTTGAAGGCAAATCTAAAGGAAATTGGGCAGAAAATTGTATAGCCTAAGGCTGGCCATACACTATACAATTTTCTGTCCAATTTCTGCCCAATTTCCTTTAGATTTACCTTCAACTACGTAGTGCAAGGGCCTTCCTGATTGGATACAACTGAAAGTGTTGTTAAGGTTTGACCTCCTATTATATGGTTTTTGGTAAAAATCTAAACCAATTTTCTAAAGAAAATTGTATAGTGTATGGCCAGCCTTAGGGCGGCCATACACTATACAATTTTTCTGTCCAATTTCTGCCCAACTTCCTTTAGATTTACCTTCAACTATGTAGCGCGAGGGCCTTCCTGATTGGATACAATTGAAAGTGTTGTTTAGGTTTGACCTCCTATTGATTTTTGGTAAATCTAAACCAAAAATCTCGAGAAAATTGTATAATGTATGGCCAGCCTTAGATCCAATCCCTACCACCCCCCCCACCCAACCAACCACTCCCAACCACCCAAAACCCACAATACAACCCCCCCCCGCCCAGAAGGAACACCCATCCACCCTATCACCCCCCCTCCCAGAGGAGGAAGAGGAGCTGAGGGGAGAATAATCAGCCCACTGACCCCCCCCCCCCCCCCCCGACCCCCCCAACACCCAATAGATGGACACCCACACCAGCTACACAGCCTTACAGGCTTCTATTGGATGGTTTACCCTTTATGCTGAGCGTTCATGTTTATACATTGGCTGTTGTCCGATATATCCATACGGCATTTTTTTCCTAGGAGCCCCGGGTGTGTAGTTGGTGTGGGTGTCCATCTAGACCAGGGGTAGGCAACCTGCGGCTCTCTAGCTGTTGTGGAACTACATTTCCCATGAGGCATTGCAAAGATGACAAAACTGACAGTTACAGCTATGACTTGCAGAGGCATGATGGAACTTGTAGTCCTGCGGCTCTCAGGTTGCCTACCCCTGATCTAGGGGGTCGGGGGTGTCAGTGGGCTGGTTATATAAACTGCTAAATCCCTTTTCTCATCAGCAGTATAGAGCAGTCATGTGACTTCTATCAGTGTCCAGCAGAGCACTGGTTAAAGCTTGTAGGAGGAGTTTTCTTTCTGC